GCTTGATTACATCTTCGTTGATGTCGAACTGACGGCATATTTCCACCAGCGATCGACGTTTGATAGCAATGCGTTCCACGGCGACCACATTATGCATTCCACAGTCCTCGCCGACTCTACCTCGGCTCACTCTCCCAAACATTGCTTATCGCGGCTACCACGGGAGCTGCTCAGGGATCCACACATCGTTTATGCCATACAACTCGAAGAGCAATCCCTGCTCGACGAGTTGATCGCCGATCTCACGTGCAACGCTGACGCAAAGTGGTCGGGTAGGCTGCGTCGCTTGAAAACATGCCTGCTCCAATGCCACCACAATCAACTTCAACTTCGCCACGAGTCCCTTCGCATCCTCCAAGTCCGGCGCGACTGAGTGCGGAATTCGTTTGCGCGTGGGCTTGTGTCGGGTCAGGCTGTGAAGGCGGCTGAGAAGCTCTACAAATCGTCGTGTGCCGAGTGTCAGCAGCAAGCCCTCGATACTGGATTCGACCGTCATGCCAGTCAGAACGAAGTTGCCAGTTCTCACTGTCTCCGCAAATCGCAGGCATTGAAGATACGCATTCGTAGTGCTGCGGTTGGCTCGACTGTGACGTTCGATCCGATCGAGGTTTCCTACATTTTCACCGAGTTCTGGAAAGGCATTATGGTCAAGCCCCAGGATCAGTCCCCACCGGACCCACACTAAAACGATGCTCTCGTCAACCACATCACCAAGACTCTCTCGGCGAGCAGCAGGCTGACCTCGACCGCCCGCTCGACGCATCTAAACTAGCATCAGCTCTCAAGACCATGAAACAAGTCGCCTGGCCGCGATGGTTGGCCCGTCAAATTCTTCCTCGTCGCCCCCAACACCTTCGCGGAAATCTTAGTCCGGATTTTCAATTACCAACTCTACACGCGTGGCCGCCTCCTCCTTCAACAATGCCGAAGCCACGAAGAGCTTGGCCAAAGTAGACATGATGGATTCGTACAGTTTAAAAATGACAAACGTCGGCACGAGATCATGCTCGCCCTCCAATGATCTGGCAGTGAATAAACGGCAGATTACGACCACAGCATGGGGCATCATAAGCAGTCCAAGGTCAGGTAGCTCAACAAGATATGCATATCGAAAAAGGGATGCGCCGTCGGGGAATTGAACCCCGACCTTCTCCTTGGAAGGGAGAAATCCTAACCATTAGACTAACGGCGCCGCATATTTTGTATCTGTACATTATACACATAGCTAAGCTTGAATAGTTAAAGCACCTAATCCACTAATTGGTGCACTGGAATTCTGCGCACTTGAGCCACCTGCATTGGATCCTCCATCAAGATGGCTCGCGTGCACAAGCTGCTTGACATGCCGACGCCCTGCTACATTCCCCCGGCAGGACCAAAACATGGTGACTGAGATGGTCTCTTACTTTGTTTCTCTATGTAGACCATTGCGGGGAACATGCCACATCTTACCAAAGGTACACTACGAATGGCAAGTGTACAATGTTGTGGTCCTAGGTGGGAGGCAATGTGTAGACAATTGCGAAAAGCTGTCGGAATTGAAACTTGTGGGGGTAAACTTCGCCGAGCTGTACGAGATTCCATTCGACGCATGTTCGTGACAATGTTCATTAGGTTCTCATCGCTAACGGCGCTGGAGAAATCTGGGGCGAATTTTGCCGACTTTCTCCACTTGCCCAACAACAGTCAAGTCGTGTTTTCTGTCACAGACGTGTTGACCATGCCGGTGCACCTGCTTCCTTGATTGAAGCTCGCGACTAACGACCGGACCTAGATTGCGCGCAACACGGCGACGCATCGAAGTTTGGAATCCACCAACGGCCGCAAGAAGGTCACACCACGCGAGTACATGACTGCAGTCAACACGTACAAGCCATCGAGTTTTATCGCGCTGGCCGACGAAGTGGACGGGACATTTGGAGCCAAACGGCAGCAAAATGCCATGGAAACCTCGCTGTTGTGGCTGGACGAGTGCCTGTCGTTGCGTGAACAAGGCAACCCAAGTCGAATTTTTGGCGTTCTCTGCGGCGGGGACGTTCTCCGCCTTCGCGAAACCAGTGCCGTTGAAACGTGCAAGCGCCCGATTGATGGTGTCGTGATCTCTGGCTTGGGCGGCTGCGAATCCGTTACGTTTCGACACGAAGTGCTCGAGATGTACCGAAAGGTTGTCCCAACTTCGTTACCTCGGCTCCTTCTCAACGTTGGCAACCCGCTTGACGTGGTTACGGCTGTCTCGTCCGGCGTCGACGCGTTCATGTCATCGTACCCGTATATGATATCCAAGTTTGCCTACGCGTTGGTGTTTTGGATTGACGAGAACTCCCCGTCGTTGCATGAGGTACATCTTGTTGGCACGTACTCGATTCCGGTTCCACACGACTCGATCTGCAGGATGTCGGTACCGACACCAAGATTAACCTTCGCGACAAGAAATTCGACCGGGACTTGAGGCCGTTGCTGCCTGGGTGTCCATGCTTTGCGTGCACGCACCACTCCCGCGCGTATATCAACCACTTGCTGAATGTGCACGAAATGCTGGCGAACATTCTCTTGTACGTGTGGAGTTTTTGTTTCTTGTTTTGGGAATGACAAAGGCGTAGGTACATGCACAACTTGCATCATTACTTCGAGTTTTTCGGAGCTATGCGACGCCACATAAAATACGGCACGTTTGAAACGTACCAGAAAGCGTTTGCAGCGAAGTATAATGGCATTTAAGTCTTGCATTTTGTTCATTTGAAAGGATCATTTTCGCCTCGATCGCGTCTCGGTCGACGGAGTGACTTCAGGAGTTTGCTTGTGCTTCTTGAGCGAAGCTTTCATGGTGTCTTTCTTGATTGACGACGAAAGCGTCGCGGTGCCACTGGTTTCGTCGCCGTCGTGGTTGTTGTTACCACCACTCGTTGCGTTCTTTTTCAGCAAAAACTCAATCGAAATACCCCGCAACTTCAGAGCATTGTCGATCAACTGCAGCTTTTCCTCCATGACAATTGTTTCGTCCTTGCACTTGCGCGCCTGCGATTCACAAGCCTCGGCTGCTTCCTCCGCTCTCGAACACATATCTTGGGCATGCTCCGCATTAAGCTGCGCCTCTTTCTTGGCTAGTTCAGCTGCATGGGATGTTTCAAAACACAACTTTGGAATCAACAAAATAATGCGACTGGTACCTTCGCGAACGACCTCCTGGGCCACCTTGAGTTTATCTTGCAGCGACTTGACCGTTTGCAGTAGGTCGACGTTTTCTTCCTTTTCCAAGTGCAATTCTTCTTGTAAGCGGCTAATCAATCCATTTTGTCCTTCTTCGGCTGTTGCTGTTGCATCTCTTGACGCTGCAGCTACATCGGCATCTCTGGATGCGACCACTTCGGATACTTTAGCCTGCCACGTTGCGGTGATCTCTTGGATCGCGTTTTTGTGCGAGGTTTCTTGCTCGCGTAGTCGATCCTCATACTCGTGGGCGATGGAACTTACGCGCTCTCTTGCTTGTGCCAGCTGCTTTTTCAATTGTGCAGTTTGACCTGCTGCCACTTGAAGCTCGTCTTGGCGTTGGGTCAATTGCGCGTTCTCTGTGATGAGCGCTTGCTTTTCTTCCTTCAACTCCTTTGTTACTTTTTGGTATTTCCTCTTGAGTTCGTCCAAGCTCGACTTTGTTTGACGTAGATCTGACAATGTCTTCTTCGCTGTTTCTACCGCCACTGCATGTTCATCGCGCTGTTCCACAAAGTGTCAAGTAGAGAAGCATGGCTGGGTCTCTCAGCCCACCACTGATTGCAGTTCGTGATTAGCCTGCTGTAAGCTTTGGGAAACAGACTGCATGTTGCCATTTATGGTGTCGCATTCGGCTTCTTTTTCTGCAAGGATTTGTTTGAGTTCTTCAATTTCCTTCTCACGTTTGGACAACTTTTTCATAACATCGTCGGAAGGTCGTTTTGCCTCTGGTTTGGATACAACAGGTGCAGTTCTGGCTCGCTCATTGTCCTCCTTTTCTTTCCGCAAGATCATGAGTTCTTTCTTCAGCTGCACATGCACTATATCATAAGCCCCTTCGAAAACGCAACATCCCTCGTATTTGTTGTTCATACCTCGGTGGCTTCCTTCATCGCACGCTTCATGGTACTTTCTGCGGCCTTCCTTGCCTCCACTTCGGAACGTGTGCGGCACTTCACCAGTCGCTACATACCAAAATGTTAAATGAATCCATCTACACTTGCCCCATGTACCTCTACGTCGTCATCTTGCATCATCCGTGGTGTCGCCATGATCGTGCTGAGGAAATTCAAAAATGACCGCGGACTCGCAATGTGATCTAAAAATGGATATGAAGTTCCATTGGATAAAAAGCAGCCAATCAAACATTTTCAAATTCGGGCCACCAATTCCGACTTGAGCACGACTTCGAGCAACGATGATGTTGCTGCGGCGTGCACAGCGTACTTCGGTGGCTGGCCTGGGCCGCCGCACGTTCTCGGCACCGACACCAAAGCCAGCTCGTCTGTCGCAAGAAGTAGACAAGCAATGGCAAGCCATTTGGGACGCCAAGCAGGCCACACCACACGCAACTGACAAGCCCAAATTCTACTGCTTGTCGATGTTTCCATACCCTTCTGGTACGCACGCCTGCATGCAGCAACGTGGTCTCTGCACAGCTAGCTTACGCTACGATATTATTATAGGGCAACTACATATCGGACACGTCCGCGTGTATACGATCAGCGACTGCATATCTCGGTTCAAGCGCATGCAAGGCTACGATGTATGGAACCATGTTCTACGCACTATCTCGATTTTGTGAATCATCTCGGCATGGACTTGTGCAGGTGTTGCACCCCATGGGATGGGACGCGTTTGGTTTGCCAGCAGAAAATGCTGCTATCGAGCGTGGCATTTCTCCAGGTGCGCCACAAGCAGAAATTCTTGAAAAATCCGTGATTGTCTGCTGTAGCTGACTGGACGTTATCCAACATTGCTCAAGCCAAGGCTCAAATGCAAGCGCTCGGTATCCGCTTTGACTGGAGCCAGGAAGTGACGACGTGCCAGCCGGACTACTACAAGTGGACACAATGGCTCTTTCTCCAGTTTCTCGACAAAGGGCTTGCGTACCGAAAAGAGGCGTTAGTAAACTGGGACCCCATCGACCAGACCGTCTTGGCTAACGAACAGGTAAGCATGCATATGTGGCTTCAAAGGATGAACCTGTGTGCAGGTGGACGCACAAGGCCGTTCGTGGCGTTCGGGTGCCGTGGTCGAGCAGCGCTCCCTTAGCCAGTGGTTCCTTGGCATCACAACGTACGCCGACGCGTTGCTGGACGACATCGACTCGGTATTTGGTCCTCGCGGCGATGAATCACATTTTGGCGTAGTTGAAAGCGTGGCCAGAAGCTGTCAAGCGCATGCAAAGCGCATGGATCGGTCGGTCTGTTGGCACCCAAGTCCAGTTCAAGGTACATTGACATCCATTGCATGGACAGAGCTATCATGAATCAACCGCTAGACTGACGTGCTCGATGTCCCGCTGACTGTGTTTACGACCCGAGTGGAAACTCTCTTCGGGGTCTCGTACATTGCGCTCGCCCCCGAGCACGAATCCATACCCAACATTCTCGATCACGTTCCCGCCGCTCAACGCGCTGCTGTAGAAGCGTACGTGGCCCACGTCAAGGCTTTGACCAAGGTGCGAGTCGTGCGAACTTGCCATGGCCTAAAGTTCTTCATAGGATGAGCGAAACAACGGCAGCACGACTGCCGGCGTGCCTCTCGGTCTCTCAGCCGTCCATCCCTTGACTGGACAAGCCGTACGTGATATCGTTGAAGTTTTAGCAAATTTTATGTCGAGACAGGTGCCTCTCTACTTGGCCGAGTACGTCCTCCCTGGTGTGGGGACAGGGGCTGTCATGGGTGTTCCAGCCCACGACGACCGCGACGCAGTGTTTGCATCCCATCACAACCTTCCCATTTCCGTCGTCCTGGCCGACGACGACACCCTTGTCGCGAGTGGAGAGTACTCTGGGCTGACGGCATCGATTGCCAACGACAAACTGACGGCGCATTTGGCTTCGACAAACCAAGGGCGCCGCCACGTGCAGTTCCGTCTGCGCGACTGGCTTGTGTCCCGCCAGCGATATTGGGGCACCCCAGTTCCAGTCATCCATTGTCCGTCCTGCGGCCCCGTGGGGGTGCCACTCCAGGATTTGCCGGTGGAATTGCCAAGTTTGCTTGATCCTTCCATGGACCTCAAGGGCTCTGGTGGTTCCCCTCTCGCTCGTATGGCGCACTGGAAAAATTGCTCGTGTCCTTCGTGCGGCGGTCCGGCCGAGCGCGACACCGACACGCTTGACACGTTCGTCGACAGGTGCGTGACTTCATCTTCTGAATCTCTGGCCGTGCGGCCACTTGCGTTTTGCCGGATGGAAGCACGGTCAAAGGCATGTTCGCATTGCGTCGCACCACAATGGACCGTCTTTTTTCTCGTGAGTTCTAACGCTGGTGGTGGAACATTTTGTAGCTCGTGGTACTATCTTCGATATGGCGACGCGACCAACAAGGCGGCCCCATTCACGCCGACGAACGTGACGAAATGGATGTCGAACGGCGGCGTTGACATGTACATTGGCGGCATCGAACATGCAATCTTGCACTTGCTCTACTCTCGGTTTGTGACCAAATTCTTGGCCGATCACCACGGCGTGCCGACGTCCGAGCCATTCAAGCAGCTCCTGGCCCAAGGAATGGTCCTGGGTCGCACGTACAAGAGTCCGTCGACACTGCGGTTCCTCAAGCCTGACGAGATCGTGGTCGACAAGACGGACGGGAGTGTCCGCGAGGCCTCCACGAACGACGTGGTCGTGACGGCCTGGGAAAAGATGTCCAAGTCCAAGTACAATGGGGTGGACCCTCAAGACATTTGCAAGCAGTACGGCGCAGACGTGGCGCGGCTATTGGTGCTGTTCAAGGCGCCACCATCGCATGAGCTCGAGTGGGACGAAGCGGATTTGTTGGGCCAGTCGCGATGGCTCATGCGCATTTGGGGCCTCGTCCTTGACCACAACCAGGCGACTGTCGCTGGTGGAGGTGAGAGAAAAGTGCTCTCGATCCCACCAACTTGTGATGATGTCATGGCGTCGGATATGTAGAGGCTCCCTCAAACACTTTAGACAACGACCAAGTGGCAGCGCTCCGTGTTGCCCTCCACACAACCATCAAGAAGGTCACGGAAGCGTTGCATGAGACGCAGTCGTTCAATGTCGCGATCGCGGAACTCATGAAGCTGTCGAACCGTCTCGGCAGCTTGACACATCTCCAAGGTTCACAAGATTTTGCCAATGCCCTCGAAGCACTCGTCATCATGCTTGCCCCACTCGCCCCGCACAACGCGTCAGAGCTGTACGCGACGCTTTGCCACGTCGACCCGTCGGTGACATCACCGGATGTGCATGACCAGCCGTGGCCCACGCACGATGAGGCGGTTCTTGCGTCTGCCCAAGTTCAAGTCGTAGTGCAAGTACGAGGCAAGACAAGGGAGACTCTGCTCGTGCCCGCAGATGCAGATGCTGCCACGCTGGAGGCGCTCGCGCTTCAGCAACCCAACGTTGCCAAGCACATGGACGGCAAACCGATCCGCAAGGTGATCTTTGTACCGTCCAAGAAACCTGGCCAGCACTCGCTCCTAAACTTTGTCATCTAAGCGACAGGACATCGCGGTAGAACCATCGATGAGTTGTCTTCGAATGTCTTCATGCGACGGGCTCACGAAGCATGTCGGGAAGTTAGACGTACGCAACAAAATCATCCGCGAATTCCACACACTATTTACAAAACCCAGAATTAGTGAGAATGCGCACCATCGATAGCTCACACTATTTTCGGATGCGCCATTAGTGTGTGGAGGTACAATGAAAGTGCACCCGAACAATTACAACATGCCCCCATCCCCCGAACGGCGACCAACCAGCGAATACGGGACGTGCACAGCGTGCGAGAATGCTGCCGCGCACGACAAGCTCATGCAGCTATCGCAGCCATGGAACCCGTTGCGTCGACCGACATGGCAGTCTGCCGTCGTCACCTCGGTTGGCGCGTTCATTGTGTTTCTTGCCAACCAGCTCACGACGCTTCTCGTCGGATTCTACCCTCTCTATGCAAAGCAATCCCTTGGAGCATCAGAGCTTCAGATATCGGCGTTGTTTTCGATTTACCCCATTTGCATCATGGTGGCATGTCCAGCCGGCTCGTACCTCACCACACGACTCGGCCGCAACGCTGTCATATGCCTTGGTCTGTTTGTCAGTGGACTTTCGACCATTTGGTTCGCCTACTGCACGTCTGTTAACATTCTCGTAGTTCTCCGTGGTATTCAAGGCCTCGGTGCGGGAATGTCCATTGTTGGCAGCGTTTCTATGATCACTGAGCAAGCCACGATGCTCGTCACGACTGCCATTAGCATCACAGAACTGGTCGTGGCGGTGGCATTCGTCACAGCGCCTGCCATTGGAAGCATCCTCGTCGAATGGGGCGGAGTCTCGCTGCCATTTCTCGCGTCTGGCTTGTGCCAACTCGCGTGCCTGATGGTCATCCCGTCGTTGTTTGTCGAGTACGGCTTGCCCGACGGTCTCTTGTTCCAAATCGTCCGCCCTGGTAGCGACCCCAAGGCACCCCTTCGCTTTGCCGACGTCCTTACGTCGACCTCTCTCGTGTGCCTTATGGTGACGACGGTTGTCATGGGTGGCTTTGGCGTTGTCGACCCAACGCTAGGCACACACCTACAACACTCGCTCGGGGCCCATGAGTCCGCCATTGGCATTGGTTTCAGCGTGTCGGCGCTCGTATATGTGGTGGGGGACTACGCGTTTACGTACCTCACGACGCAGTGTGGGTGCAAACCCATCATCCTCGGCGGCCTCACGTGCCTCTCCGCGAGCTTCTTATGCCTTGGCGTGCCATCCTTGGTCGGAATTTATGAGCCAACAACGGCAAAGTGGGGTCTCAATGGAATCGCGCTAGTCCTGTTGGGCTGTGGGTCCGCCCTGGCCATCGCCCCTGGTGTCCCGCTGTCCCTCGCGAGCTTAACGTGCCTTGGGCTCAACCTTGCCGAGGCGCGGCCGTTGCTCATCGGTCTCTTTGGCGGTGCCGTCTACTTTGGCCAGGCAGTTGGCCCGTGGTTCGCTTGGGTACTGTGCCAAGTGGTGCCGCTGGACGAAGGGTCGCCGTTGCCGTGGGTCTTTACTGTATACGGCATCAGTGTTGCGGTCGTGTGGTTGTACGTCTTTACGTGCCTTCCAAGCGGACAGGACATTCATGCACGCGTGTACGAGCGGTCGTTCAGCCTCCAGCGCCAAGTGTCTGAATACGGCCAATTCGTGTCGATCGACGACGACGACGGCGATACTGGTGATGACGACAACAACAACCGCCTCCTCTCGTTTGAAGGCGGGAGTTATGGCTCGATGTCGCCGCAGAAACCATTCTGATGCTTGCTCCGATCGCGTCCCACTTAACGTAGAGAATGTCTTGCTTGGTGTTCCAAAGTCGTCGACGGACGAGCAAGCGCGACAACACGATGCTGCTACCCTGTCGAATGCGCGGTGGCCACCTGGGAGGGTGGCATTCTGCGTGGCGCAGTCATACCACCCCCTTCCATCGATGTAGAGCGTGTTGAACAAGGCCACTGCCAGGACGGTCGCGCAAGGCACAAGCGACGTGATCTCCACAGCACGCATGTGTCGTGGACGGGGGAGCCACTGTCGATCCCGTCGCTCTGCCGGCCAGAAGTCAAGGAGAAGAGCTCATGCTACTTGTAACTTAAACGTATCGAATGCCCTAGACGTCGTTTTCGTCGTCCGACGATATCGTGGCGTGGAGACCGTCCAGCATGTCGTGATACGATCCTTCTAACGTGGCTTCGCTGATGCGGAACATCCCGCGCTGGGACAGACCGACTACGACGAGCAACGGCGACGTGTCGCGGATGGGCTGTACGAACAGCGGCCGGTATTGTGCCCGTTGAGATGTTTGTGCCGATCGTCGCATGTTCGCTTGGTAGCGCTTCTTGGTTAGTTGGACGCATGGCCCGCATACGCGGAGCTCAAATACGTTGTGCAGACCCGCTTCGACTTGCTCGATAGACGAGCAGTCGGCACACACTTGGCCAGCACACAGCCGACACACGACACCGTTGGAAAACTTTCGGCAGTGAATGCACATGTCTCCTAGCACAGCCGTCGCAGGGTGCTGCGGCGCCGAAATTTGAACTTTGTGGCCGAGGCGGCGGCGCAGGACGGCCAGGTCGATCGTGTGGAGAGATTCGCCCAGTTTTTGGAGGAGCACGTGGCTCGGATGGGTGGCTTTCGTGGCCTCATGGGACCCAAAGAACGTCACACGACACACGCCGCCGTTGTGAAAGGACAGCTCTTCAATGTGAAACCCAAACAGGATGCGTGTGTGGCGGGGAATGACCTTGCCTCGATGGAGCTGCCGGTACGACGTCGTGTTGTCGACGGATTTGAACACGCGCACGATCGACGAGTCCGATCGCTTCTGGATGTAGTCCAGAAGCAGCCACTCGGCTTTGGACTTGCGCAAGAAAAAGTTGGACTGGACAAAAGTCGTTTGTTTCACTGCCGCCCCCTCGAATGACTGCTTGATCTTCTTCATGGTGAGGAAAATATCGTCATCTTCTTCATCGCCGTCGTCACCTTCGGCGCCGTTGCTTGGCTGGGCGTTGTCAACATCATGCATAGGCTTCCCGAGCCAGTCCTGAACACGCCTCCGTCGCCGCCGCTCCTTGGTGCATCGCAGATTGGTCGCGGAATCTAACGTTTGCCCAAACACGCGCCACAAGAACACGTTGAACCCGTGTCGAGACGAGGTCGGGTCGATGTCGCCGGCGAGCAGCTCCAACACTTCGTTAAGCCCCGCTTGGATCTCTGTCACTGCATGCACCGAGTACATCTTGGTTGAGGCATCGTACTTGCAATACACGTCTTTGGCTTTCTCTTCCCCTCGACCGTTGGACGCCGAGTACCTCAACCGACGCGACACGTGGCGTGCTCGTCCACACTTGGACAGAAACGCCGTTGCAAACTGTTCGCCGTGCTCGAGCAACTTGGCCGTTGGCAACGTTGCGACATCGTCGGTCAAGATCAACGCTTCTTCCGGCGAGAGAGGCGCCGGTGGGGCGGTCGGCGACGCGTCTGTATTCACCGAGGGCGGGTTCGACATGCCCCTGCTGCTTCCATTTCTCGTGCCTGTCGTGTTCTTCGCAAGAAAGTCCGCGATGCTTCGGCGGCGCGGCCGCATCCAGTTGGCACAACCGACACGCGGATTCAACACTGGAAGTCAGGCACTGCGACAGCGGGCAGATTTCACAAAAAAAGGTGAAAAGATGAACGAATATTGTGACAGCCATAAACATCCGATATCCTTCCCTTAAATCAGTAGTGCCCCTTCTCATGCAATCAATGGCGTCGCCACCAGTGGAAGCTCGGCCAGCCATGCCTTCCCAGTGAAACAAGACTCTTGTAAGCGCTCGGCGTACCGCCACGGTGAGTCAACTTGACTTGTTCATGTGAACCAGATGGACACTGGATTGACGCGCTCACCCTGCCCGAGAGTACTTGAAGGAGGGAATTCCCGGCCAACCCTGATGGGAATTGACCTCCTTTTGTTAGGACTACACGGCATGTGGTGCTGTTTGTGCGAATGCAACTCTGGGACCGACTCCGACTTGGACGTGGCGCTGGCATGACGTCGTTGTTGCAGCGACGCCTTCATCGTTGAAGACGCTGTTGACGTGAGTGCCGTGCGGGTCGTCATGTCGGACCAACAAGCCACCCAACCTGTCTGCCCGGTCTCGAGGGAAGCCCAGGTATGTGGTGTCGTGATGGCCGACGGCGGCTGTTTTGTGCCCGCGCCAGGTGGACTGCATGGGGCATTTGAGTAGGCTGTTTACATCTCCTGCCAACATTTCCGACACCTCGTGCGAGAGTCTCGCGCGGTTGGCGCGGCCGCACTAGACGGCCGCGCATTGCTCGCTGTCCTCTCGCAGCCGCTTGCGACGGACGTGGCCCGTGAAGAACTCTAATGTGCGCCGGCATCTCGACTCGACGTTCGCGTCCACCGACGCCACCAAAACGCACACTTCAAGACATCCAGCCCCCATCGTCCATACACATCTACGTGGGAATGTTCCGCTCCATCTCTTCCCGGCCACTCGCAGCTCCAGCATGATGCCAAGGAACGCCGTGCTCCACACAACATCTGTCGACACCACGTGATACAATTGCTGATATGTGCGAGGCGCTGTCCATCTGCATTCACGATCACGACATGTGTCGATTGTGCTGTTGTTCACTCTGTGGCAGCGACCGCGCCGGCGGCCGATGCCTGTCCCGATGGACTCCCGGTCGGCTTCTTCTTGCCACGGCGTCTCGCTGGTCGCTTCCCGCCCGTTTGATTTTGCACTTCCAAGACAGAACTCGCCTTGATGTCGGCGCGGTCTCGCACCGCTTCTTCGTCGTTTCCGCTGGCATCGCTGTCGTCACTTTCCGGGAACGCGTCCGTATCGTCGGCGGCGGTGCATTCGACCCCAGCAAACCGCTTCGTCGGACTCACAGCCGTTCGCACGCGAAGGTTGTACCGTTGAATTTCCTCCTGGCTTCGCTGTACGGGCGCTTGCGTCTGCGTGATACCTTTTCGCATGCTGTTCTTCTTGCGCAGGGATCCGAGGTTCGTCGAGGTCCCCGACCCCCCTTCTTCCCCGATCAAGCTGCGCACGCTGTGCTCGGCAGCGTCCGCCAGCATGATCGAGTCCATCCCCTGCGACGCCTTCACCCCAAGCATCACAGCCAAGTGCAGTAAACCCAAGTGGAGGTTCTACAAAGCGAGTCAGGTCATGATGCAAAGCCTACCGCCGGTTGAACGTCGACAACACGCACCTCGGACAAAGCTTTGAGTCGGATGGCGCGCTGCTTTTTCTGGTGCAAAATCGCTGTCGCATCGGCCAGCTGCAGCTCGACTTGCTTGATGTTGTGGTGTTTCGACCCACCGTCGTTCATCGCGGTGGTGTCGCTGGCCGATCCCGACGTCGAGGGCTTCCCGTTCCCAGTACTTGGTGGTGGTGCTTTCCCAGGCTTGACCGTGGTTTGCCCGAGTTTGAGGTTCTGCAACTCGTGTCGTAGTGCCTCGAGCTCCTGGCGGCATGCGGCCACGCGCTCTTCGCCTGCTTTTTGTTCCATGTCGAGCTGATCCGCATGCTCAAACTACGGACGCACAACCCAATATCCGTTGGCATGTCCATCGACCTCTGGGTAGGCAGCAGCTCGCTGTACCTGATCGTGCCAGCGGAGCAGGACTTGATCGACTTCGTTAATCCCAACGTGACGCAGCACGCCGAGGAGCCCGTCGTCCATGAACTGGCTGCCCTTGTACACCTTGAGGTCCTGGAGATTCTTCACGCGCATGCTATTCGCTTCTTGCTTGTGCTCGACCTTCTCCTTGAGGCGGACGACCATGGCTTCCTCCTGCGCCGAGCTCAAGTCGCCCTCCGCTTGCTTCTTCATTTCTTTGGATCGTATGCGAAACTTTGTCTCCCATTCCATCTGGCGCAGGTGTTGGAGCTGCCGCCATCGCAGCCTACGAAGCCACCATCACGATACGATCGTTGTGCATACGAGAAGGCACCGGCTCAACGCGACTTGATGGATCTGGAGCTTTTCTTCGATGGCGGTCGTGAGTTTGGGAATCTCGATGGCCGCGAGGCGCCGCTCGTACCCAATCACTTGGGCCTTTTGCTGCAGATCCGTGATGTCTTGCTTCATCTTGCGCACGTTCATTTCCGACGACTCGATGATCTACCAAACAAAACACATCAAGTGAATGGCTCAGATTCGACGGCTCTGAGCCGTACGTTCGGGTCGCGAGCCGGGTTGGTCTCGCATTGCCGTAAAATGGACTTGTAGTAGTCGCTCTTCTGGCGACCGTGCGTGGAATCCAACATCGTGATGCGGATTTGCTCGAGCAACTCATCCCGCAAGCGCGAGTTCTGGTTCTGGTGCGACGTGTTGGCCTTGGCATCGTTCACTTTTGACTCGAGCGTGACCAACGCATCCTGGCGCTCTTTCGAGATGAACTTGAGCTTGTCGTAGCGGGCACGGAGGTCTCTCAATTGGTCCTATTCGTTCACACGAAGCGTGAGCTCCCGTCGTGAGCTAGCATGTCCATTGTGGCACACCCGCAGCGCCGGAATCGACAACGAAATGTCACCCGCCGCATCTCCAAATTCAAACGCCCCCGACACCTCTGGGTTGAGTAACTCCAACACGTGCTGCGAGTTCTTCTTGGGCGAGTGGCGCGCGATGACGCGCTTTCGATCGCCCACGACCGCGCCGACCGACTTGGGGAGAATCGAGTGGTTGAATTTGTACGAGCTGCCACTGGTGGTGCTCGTGGCTGCATGTGGAGACGACGACGTCGCGGCGGGAGTTGTGCTGCAGCTCTTGTCCTTCTTGTCCGGCGGCGAAGACGATGACGAGACACTGCCGCCGCCGTCTAGCTCGCCAACGCCCGACCACGCCGCCAGTGCCTCCGACGTAAACTTCTTGAGAAACAAGTTCTCGAACGAGACAGCAATGAGCGGGAACTGCGTCCAGAGCCACCGCCGGACAAAATACCCGTCGTCAGGATGAGGGCACAGGTAGTCGACAATTCCTTGGATCTGCTTCGACTCGACGTCCGTCAAGTGCGACAGGGAAAACGTCCCCTGGCTGTTGATGAATTCCTTGAGCTGGGGCGGATCCGGGCGGTGCATGTGGATATCAGGCTTGACCTTGACGTCGCTCCGCTGCCACGACCGCAAAAACTCGGTAATCTACAGCCGACATGACGTGGCGCTTGGAACGGGTGACGACCAACCGTGAGAAACAGCGACAGGAGCTGCTCCGTCGACGGGCCTTCCACTTCGATGTACTCGTCCAGCGATCGAATGTAGTCGTCGACAGGGTCGTGGGTGCTAAAATACGACCGCAGCGTCTTCCAGTACGCGAGAAAGTCCTGTCGGTTGCGCTCGTGCCACCACAGCTGAAACATTTTCATCTCGACGAGGCAGCTCTGAAGCTGCGACCACATCCCACAGCACTCGAGTTGCACGGGCAGCTCGTCGATGCGCCGTTGACACGTTGGCATCTTTTCACAGTACGACGCGATCGCTTTGTGGTACCCGTGGCGAAGTCCGTCGTCGTGGAGGAATCCATACCTTTGTAGCAATCATGCCTCGATCCGTGGTCAGAATGAAGAAGAGCTTACCGCACCAAGAGACGAAGCTGGTTGTGCGAGATGTCGTAGAGCACTGAATCGCTATCCTTGCGATGGATGGCCATGAGGTGGGGCATGAGGAGCTGCAGAAGAAGCGTTCGGATGGGCCGCGGGGCGGCGTCCTCGAGGAGGTGATGGAAATCTTTCTCGGACAGCCCGAATCGAGACACGGTGAAGAGCGACAGCGCGTGGCGAGCCAAGAGCGCCCGGCGCTCCATTTGGACGTTGATCCGATTCATTTCGTCGTCCTCCGGACTCAACTGCGACGCCATCTGGGTCATGTGCTCGGACTCACGTCGACTATTGCGCTTGCGGCTGTCGGGTCGGTCGAGTTGTGGCGACGAATCCGATGCTGCAGGCGCGGGTTTTCGTGTGAGGTGGTCCACAGCTTCGACCAAGTCCGTGAGTAGAATGGCCTTCCATTGCTGCAGCACCAACTACAAACTTTGATGCGACTGCAACCTGGATTCCATGAACAACCAACGCAGCGCACCTCGTACAGCGATGGAAAGTCGCTGGCGTGCACGATGACCGATTGAAAGTGGTCCGACAGGTGATGGTGGTGGCCCTGGTCGAACATGGTCAAGACCAGCCGGAGATAGAGGGGGCAGCTGCTGCCTTTGCAGTCCAGGATATCTTGCACTGTGTCGTCGTCCATCGGGGTGTTCTACGGGCACGGGAGATCGTGTAAGCTAGAGCGTGCATGGGTGGACGGGAGTTCTGCGTGAGCAAGGGACGGATCGTACTCGAGCGCAATGTTCCTATGATGGTCATCCACCCAGGATAAGGAACTAGGCTGCACGAGCACGTGGCCATGCCATGACATACATGAATGATCTTGGCGCACATGCGCTCGTCCAGCGGCTCAACAACGAGGAACCCCGCATTGCGCCGCCGCAGTTCCTTGACGCAGTGCGTGTCGGACGAGTCCGGAGGCAACGTCGCGTCGTAGAGCAGGTCGTCGCTGGCGACGAGTGGAATTTTTACATTTGCGTGGAAACGGGGGGGTGGTGCACTTACTCGGCATCGTATGTAAAGTCTTTTCGTTCAATCCATCGCGAACTGGCCAGTTGTGTGGTCTTGGGCGGCCTGGTGGCCGACAGCAGAAGCCGCACGCCTACAATGTCCAACAAGATGGATCGGGGGCGCCATTCAATCAATAGACCAAGGGCAGGATACCAGGAGGCAATGTGTTTGGTAGCCAAGACAAGCTCTCGCTGCCATCTTCCGTCCGCAGATTGTCGACTCCGTCCAGTACAATGATGATGCTATCGAGCGCACGATGATCTCATGAGCGTGGCCAACGATCCATCGCGTGAAATGAACGCCGTACTTTTTACGCTTGCCGTTCTGCGTCGTCGTGCGGTTCGCCGCGTCCAAGCACCGCGCCAAGGAGAACTTGAGCTTCTCTTCTTCGTGTTCATGGGGAAGCTGGCAAGTCGCGATTGTTACGACTTTGCTGGGAACACTTGTCGTCCTTACCTCAAAGTCGCGCAGCGAGAACGCCGTCTTCAGGTGGTCCATCAATCGAAACAGAAACACGGATAGCTACCCAACACAATGACGCCACCACCACCATACGCGTAATGGACGTCTACCTTGACGCTTTCATAGGAGCAGCCACAGTAATGCTGAAAGATTACTTCGGGACTCGGCTGGGGCTTCCGCAGTCGCTGGTGTACCCAATTCACGAGCAGCGCCGACTTGCCGCTCGCGGGATGACCCAACACGACCATCAGCGGCGACGATCCGTTTTCAAGCTCGAATCGGCAATGTCCGTCAAGAACATGCATGTATGGCGGGGTCTCGACGTACACAAAGCCTTCCATGCGACTGGGGTCACGTGAGTGGACATGAAATCGAGCAAATCGACTCACCTTCTGGCAAATGCTTCATGGCCACCACTCTCTCGCGTCAGTGTAGCGCTCTCCACACGCTGTGTATCCTCGCCAGACTGAAGCTCCTTCGGTAAAGTGATCGCGTCCGAGTTGACCGACGCCGACACCATTGCCGACCCAAGTGACTTGACGTGACCTTTCGCGCCAGTTACACCTTGGACGGCTACTATAGTACTACTAGGTGGATACAAGTTGAACCAAGGGTAGTAGTAGTACTTCTACTAAAGACAATTTCACACGCCTGAGATGTCCCTCGCACTGCGTCGTCAGGCTGCGAAGGCAGCATAGCACGAGGCTGCTGTCGCGTAGGCGGCAACGTGCTCCGTCCCTGCAAGTCCCGCGCGAATGGCGCAAGCTTCGCAATAGGTTGCTCCTTCACGTAAATTATTCGACCACCTCCTCGAATCGGTCGCTATCCCGTTCAAAGGTGAATTCAGACGGGCGCTGGTGGTGATGGTGTGGCTGCTGCACACACATCTCTTGCTCCGTGTGGCCATGCCAACTGGCCCGCATCGCAGACAAGATGCTTTCTTGAATTGCAATCGATTTGCGCATTTCTTGAAACACGTCGCAGTCGCTTTCTTTGACAGGCAACGTGGTGACCGGCGCCGGCAGCGACCCTGGCCTTGGATGCGCCGCGTGTCCATGGTGAGCGTGGTGGGCATGGGGTGGCAGCTTGACTGCATCCTTGTCGAGTGGTGCATGCAATGGGGCATGGTGGTGGTGATGTTGATCTGCCTCGGCATGACCTGTCGCGTGGATTCCCAGGGCAGCTTCCCACGCATCGTCGTCGACTTCCGGCGTTTTCACTTTCACAAAGTCTATCGCAATATCAGGTGAGCGGAATAGATGGCCCTTTGCAAGATGGCATGGCCCACCAGAGAAAGTCTCTTTGCTGCGATGAACACAAGCAAGACAAACAACGTCGTTGCGGGGCGTCATGGCCGTCAAGTGCAGCAGATCGAAAGGGACGGGGTCGGGCGAAGCCTGAATCGAATACACCACGCGCAAGTGGCAGTTGGAGCACATCGTCTGGCACACACATCCGCGCGTGAGATGCCATGGACAACAGGACGACGTACCATGCTGCATTGCGAACAGCAGAATCGCTTTCCGTGAAAAAGAGTGAACTTCCGCCGGCAGCATTGGCAATACGTCCGCAAGTTGCTGCTACGCATACCAACCAGAACGATGGGTGCTTCCAACTCGTCGCAAGGGTCGATTGCGCACCTGTGGCCAAAATTTGTTGGTCGATGATAAGATTCCCGAGTGATGGGAAGCGATCGCGCGAGATCCGACACGGAGCCACGGCCGTTCCCCATCGTTCCCGCCGCGGACAGCAACCGGCGAATATACGACAACGATGTGAGTTTTTCGTACACGCGCCAGAAACTCAGTGCCGACTGGTCACCGAGAATCTTGGGCGCCGATCCTTGCATGTCGTGGAAGGTTTTCGCCACGACTTGGATCTTGCCATTGGGCGCAGGCATGAACAGCCACACATCGCGGAGGACGGCGCGGTGATGGTCTTTGACGAGTGGGAGGTAATTGTCGATCGAGTACACGACTCTGGCAAGGGTATTGTCTTCGCGAAGGGTGAGGTACTGCGCCGACGTGAGATTCCGCGCGGCACACCGAATGTTGGACGTACCTCCAAGTAGACAGCTTCCCGTGGATGGAGCCCAAACTGACTGGCCGGCATGCGAATTTTGATGTATTTGACGCCACAATAAGCTGGAAGGTGCGGGTCCAAAGACAGCGGGGCCATGTCCGAAAGAGTCTGGAGTACGTGGGACGTGACATACTCCTTTTCCAGGAGCAGCGAATGCATGATCTGGTCGTCGACGGATGTTGTGGCGAACAAAGCTGTGTGGAGTTCATCGATCGTGGTGTTGAGGTACCCAACGGTGAGAAAAGTATACAAGGACGAGGCGCTGGCATGCGAGCTAGAGTCGCCACCTTGCGATGAAGCAGTTTGGTGACTGTTCCTGATCATGTTGGCGTTGCCGAGGGTTGGAGTGCTGCGATGGCGAAAAACTTGCATGTTGCGCTTGTTCACGGTAAGTTTCCACCCCCCATGGTCGTGGCGTGCATCCTCCATCCAATCTTTGCGGTGGTCAATGGCGTCCTGCACCATGGACACCGCCACATCGATGTACTCTCGGCACTTCATCGCTTCGGTGCCTCCGCCGACGATTGGCATGTCGCTTTCTCCACGGACGTAACAAACCTGTGCGTGGGGAAGGGCTAGAGTTTTACCGGAGAGTGTGCTGTGTCCACTCTCACGCCATCATACAAATGGAAAGATAAAATTGCCATCGTGGAGAGTCCAAGTTTCGAATTGGGGGGTTTTGTCCCAATGGAAACCATCACGGATTCGATGAGAGCGCCGCCGGCCTGTCGGCCCATGGGTTCGCCCGACTACGCAGATGGATCGCGCATGAGTACTGACCAACGACGATCCCACATGAATAGATGCTGCGCGAGAAGCGACTTGTCCCAGTGAAGTTGTATCGTGTGAAGTGGCCCCCGCCCCTGCTTCACGTTGCCCGACCACATGGAAACCCCTGCCACGATGTGGACGTGAAAGACAGTGCTGTAGCTGGGGCACCATGAGGCGACCGTCGTGAAATTACACACGCGCAACTCATTCTATGGCAGGTCGGTGGTGCGCCACACTGCTTCCGCACCCACGCAATGCTTCATGGTGGTGTGCGGGCCAACTGAATTGACATATGCGTCCCACATGGGGGGTAGACATGCTCGACGAAGCGGCGATGGAGCCGCACCACAGAGTTCGCACCATCAAGTAAGGGTGTGACTCGCACGGCACTGTTGTACTCGGTATGCCGGCCTTCACAATGCAGCCACGAATCTGTGTCGCTATGTTGACCGCCCCTGGCACTGCGACTCTCTTGGAAACTTCCACACCAACACACAATAGACGGGACACTCTGCCATTTGAGTGCTGCAATTGTACAGTTCTAACTAACCATATGCTTCCTCTACTGCTTGGTGGTGTGGGTGATGCAAAACCCCCCTCGTCGGGCGGCGTGGTTGCATCCTTCCAGGCTGCAGCGCTTTCCTCCTCCGTGAGTGTAGCACACGCCTTTGCCTTGGGCTGTCTTGACGCAGCCATCGACGGAGCACTTGCGGCCGCCACCATGCCCAACGCACAGACCGCTCTTGTGGGCACATTTTCCACACCCTTCAACCTTACACAAGTGCCGTCCTCCGTGCTCCTTGCACACGCCCTTTCGCTTGGCGATGCGGGGACAGTTCTCGAAGCGGCAGCGGCTACCTCCGCCATGAGACTTGCAGTACCCTCCGCTCTGAGCCGTTGTGTCGCACCCGTCGTCCAGGCACTTCTTGCCACCGCCATGAGAAATGCAAAATCCACCTGCGAGACCGTACTTGGAGCAGCCTAAGTGTTTGCATCGGCGGTTGGCATATTTGGGGCGGTCGACCGCAGACAACGCCGGGGACACTGGGTGGATGGGTTGGCGCGGGGTGGCGGCAGACGATGTGATCAAGCGGAAGTGACCGAGGCAAAGCTTGTTGATCTTGGCAAACTTGTCGCAGTTGTCATACACACAAGGGGACGCATCCAAAGTTGGCTTGGGACTACCCACGACCGTGAGGAAGGGGTTGAACGGCGCAAGGCAGTCGACAATAGGTGTAGAAGGCGGCAGGCGCTTGACGACGTGGTTTGGTGGTGTGCTGCAGGTGAGGAACCGTCCAAAGCTGGGCAGGCTAGCCAAGGATCCACGCGTGGACTGCTTGGTAGGGCTCATGGCGCGCGGCGCATGGTACATAGGGGTCGAAAAGTTGGTCGGGGTGCTCATCGTCGCTTTACCTCGAGGATGGAAATGTGATAGTGAGCTGAGGGGATGCTGCCCAAACAAGGCCCAACAGCCGGCAATCGATGAACAGTTCCCGCAAGTTCCGTGCTAGCAATGCCGTCTAGGCAAATGTATCGATGGTCTGGATAGTTCATCGTAGGTAGCAGCGAGGCAAACAGGCACACTGGGTCGGGCCCCTCTGCATCCGCCTGGCCCACGCGTGAGACGCGTTTGCCAACGTCCAGCTGGAATGGGGTAATGTGCCGTTCGGTCAAAATAGCACTATCATCATCATCAGGCACCGCTGTTTCTTCTGTCGTTCTCCATCCGACGAACCAGCGATTCTACGTCGAGAACTCTTCGACGTGCTCGACAAACTTTCGCGCTCCACGGTGACGGACAGCGCTCCCCGCTCTGCGAGCCGTCCCATGTTCTGCTCAACTGCAGCTCGACTAGACAATTCTCGACAAGATAGTTTGGTAGTAGCTCAACGTTGCTATGTTGTCACGATAATCTACCAGTCGTACCGTACCATCGCACCCTCTCCAATATCACACCAATGCTGTTTTGTTCATTATATAGAACCAAGAGAATATTTTGTTTGCCATGTTCAGCATCCGAATTGTCTAATCAAGTGAAAGCATACATTCAGCTTTTATGAGAATGCGTTCGATCAGATTTCTGCATCGGTGCGTGGTTCGTGGGCGCAAATTCGTCATGTGCGCTATTTTGATTTGTACTGTAGCAGCAGGATGTCGGTGGCGACGGTTGACTACCGCAACTCGGGCAGGCGGCTGTCCTACCCAAAGGTTTGTTGTCCGGGCCCCATTCAAGCCATTCTTCGCACGCCCTGCACGTCGAGCGAGCTGATGGGTGCGCAGGCAGCACCCCCCTGACTTCGCCCCCGTCCAGCACGTCCGCTTCGAACCTGGCATGCCCGCATCCAGAATCAGGGGGGATCATTGGTAGCGCATGGATCATTGGTAGCGCATCGGTTTGTTGTCCCAAAGGTCGTGGTATCGATCCCCGGCTTCCAGGGGGTTTCTCAGCCACGACATGCTTCGCTCCCCTCTGCGGAATCCGGACGTCGAGTGCACCGTACGAAGGCAAGGACGGCAAACCGCCCCAGATCCAGCTGGTGCGACAAAATCGGCGTCGCGGATCTACTGCCGCGGTGAAACACGCTTACGCGGCCTCAACGGTGAGTACTTGACAAAAGTATAGTCCCGCCTCATTTCCCCGCTTCCGGAATCACATGGCGGTAAAGGTGGCCGTCGGTGGACAGGACCCCCCGTTTGCCCTCTCGCACCTTTCGACATTGCACAAAACGGACAACTTCCGTGTGTTGCGATGGAGACTTCCGAGAATCCCCACGTCTCGCAGGAGTGTGCAACACTGAGCACACACGTGAGCAACGCCGTGCGTTTGCTGGATTTTGCGATTTTTGACTTGAAGAAACGATGCATGGGGGGGGAAGGCGAAACGACCCCATGCTACAATACTGCTTCATGCACAGGTAGTGATGCTTCATATGAAAGGCGGGCTCAGTGCTCGAGAGGATGAAGGAAAACTCGTGGGGGAGCGCGGGGGGTACGAATCGGGACCATGTTGTGGCACGATCACGCGGCAAAAGTCATGTCGGGATGGACGGGCCGCGACTCGTACTTAGCGCGGCAGACTGGACACAAGTGCACTTCGTAAATGTTGAACGTTTCGAAAGCGTGGAGACAGTCGGCATGCAAAACGTGGCTGCAGCTGAGCAACGCGATCGGTTTGGTCGTGAAGCAGCTACAACGACACCGCTGTGATGCTTCACACCAAGCAGACGAAGCCCCATGGATGCACGCATAGGTGGAAGCATTTTCGCCGTTCCAAGTGCAGGCACGGACACAACGTACTCGATCGAGTTGTAGCAGATGGGGCACTCCTTCTCATCGCGCACTAACGCCTACGCATCCCGTCCGTGTGAGTCACTCGTGTGACGCGTGAAAATTCCCCGACCTTTCGCAGTGTATCGTTCCACTTGTCCTGGGTCATCAAGTTCCCGGCGGCGGCGCCGTTCCCCTGGTCCGGGCGGAACACGTGTCGGCTTAGGGTCAACGACTTATCAAACGAGGCGAGGAGTGCATCGATTGAATCTTCTCGCGCCTCGATGGCACAAACAATGCGGTCGCTGAGGTTGGATATCCTAGACTCGATCGTCTCAAGCCTTTCTGGGGGGACAACGGGGCGAGTTTTACTTGGACGCATAGAACGCTTGTCGCCGAGTTGGGCTTCCGAGCCCAGCCTTGAAATACTAACCACCGCCCCTCGTCAGATACGTGTCAGGCCTCAAAACATGTCAATGCGGGAGACGAACCTGTCGCAACAGCGACGGGAATCGACGCCGCGCGATGAAGCCCCGCACGAAAGACTAGGCCAGAATACCGATGGGGGGGCGACGACTCGTCGACGTACCTGAATCTTTATCGTACACTGGATCCGAAACGATTGCTCACCCTGCTTCGTGTGACGCTTTTGATAGTTTTGCTTGCGACAGAGCGGACACACGCGCTGGTTTGTGCGCAAAAACCGCTCGAAGCTCGCGAGGCAATTCTGGTGAAACATGTGCGTGCAGCTCAAGATAACTTTGGGGGCAAGGCCAAATGGTTCCCTGCAAATGGAGCACGGATGAACTGTATCTCCTCTTTCCTCGGCTTTGGCTTCGCAGTCCTCCCACTGGTTCTGGCTTAGCTTTGGAGGCGGGGCTTGGACCTACGACGATCGACTGACAGTGAGTGGGCCACGGTGCTGCTTGATGGTTGTCAGTACCAAGCCCTTCTTTTGGGCCAACGTGAGCTTGTGGCGGCGGTTGTTGGGCTTGAACGATCCGCAGGCCGAGCATCGAGCGTCCATCTCTTCCGAATTTTCAAACGTGCAAGATTCGCACACCCACACGTTGCGGTACCCGGTGCCGGCCGCCGGCAATGGCATGTGTTGAGGAAGAGGACTGGCTTTCGTTGCGGACAAAATCGGCGTTGCTTGGTGGGGGGGTGCTTTGGGCTTCCCCAACTTTACCCTGGGGGGCATGGCAATGTTTAAGCTTCGCACGAGATGGTCCTACACGCGCCCGAGGTTCTCCTGAGCAAGCCCTTGACGGGTATGTCATCCAACGACAACATACTTGCAGTGCCGCTGCGTTGACCAGACAGGACGAAACATCGTGACCAGCTACACCCACGTTTGCCACACGTTCAACCATAATCATCATGTGTACCAGCCACAAGGCGCTTGGCAGCGGGCCGCGGCTTTGCCCGTGGCATGAACGTTGGCGGTTTCACCATCGGTTACTCGTCTACCTGGCCACCGCATCGTGCACGTTGCCCGCGCAGAGGAACAATTGTGATGTTGCCATGTAGAGGCTGGCATGGCGACGACGCATTACTGCAGGGTGTCGATATGGTGGTAGTTGTGGAGCGAGAGCGCACATCGTTCTCAGATGAACCTTCGTGTCGTGCCTTGCCGCCGACGACCTCCTGTGGTTCGTTTCGCAGTTCAAAACGGCCTCTGCATCGATGAAACGCGCAAGATTGGAAACAACAACGGCACTGGCTGGTCATCATGACGGCGCAACTGGTAGGCACCACCCCCATCGCAGGCTCTCACAATGGATGGTAGAGGAACGCCGACGCGGCTAAAATCTTGCAAACGCTGCGGGGGAAGCTCAGCGCCAAAGGGTCCCAGCAACTCTCTGACTTGCGGCTCCATTTTGCCCAAATGGATCGGCATGGCGAGGGTCTCCTCGGTCGAAAGGGTGCGACACCGTGTGCATTACGTCGTGTTACACACTCGACGTCTAAGAAGATTCGTAGAAGTCGACGTGTGCCTAAATTACTTTGGGTTATTCCCGTCCACTCAAGACGTGGGCACGCTCATGCGCGTCTACGGAACGGGGCACGCAGGGACAGCGACCCCCCAACTTGCATGGGTGCAATTCATGGATGCGCTGGAGGTGCGAACCATCTCATGTCGGACCACGCTTGCATGCCTCGGTGACATCGACATGCCATGGACTGTACTTTGGGTGGTGCGAGTAGTTTGAGATGCCGCCAACCCGCCAAGAGGCTGTTCGCCTCGCGTACGACTCGATTGGTCGTCGAAGCAACAACCGATTCAGCATTGAGTCCCTGACTGCCCTGGGCCAATTTGACCAGCACCCCTTGGCGCTACGTGGCATCACACCCGCAGCAGAGTTGGCGCGCGAGTTTGCCATTGGGTTAGCCAAGGCGGTGTCGACTCACACGGTGCGTGTCGTCATCCACTGGCGGCATAGGCGTGAATTTGACCAACTCGCCCAGGAATCCGTCACGTTCGACGCGTTCAAGGTGGGTCCAAGTCGTGCCTCTATCCACCGTCCGTGGCAGGCGTCATGGAAACTGATCATCAACTGGCATGCCATGTGGCAGGCATATTACCTCACAGTTAGTCACGCAACTCCTCGAGACGACGACTTTTTGTCCATGATTCAATGCGTGTGGAGCGTCGACGAGCTCAAGATTGTGCCGCAGATGCCGCTCTTTGGAGGGTACAAGGAAGCGCTCTGCCGAAAGCTCGATGAAAAAACGCATGGGTACGACTTGCTCGTATCCCGGAACATGACGACCTTGACAGGGCGGACATGCCTCGCGATGTTTTACTGCGTGCGTTGAAAAAGTTTGACACGGAAGAAACAGGATTCTTGAGCCAGACCGAGTTTGCCCAGGCGATTGAGATCTTCGGCTTCACCTTGACCCCCGCGCAACTGAATGGTACGCAAGTTTACCAGACCTGCATCTTGGCCTCACCACGCACTGGCGGGTGCAAAGATACCTTTCAGCGAGGCGACACGAACAAGGCCAACAAGTTGCGCCTCGAATGGTTCGCCAACTTTGTCTGCTCGTAGGTTTCTCGCGCGAGCGCTCACTCGATCGATCTCGTGTCGCACGTGTTCTCGCTTAAATTCAAAATTGCTTTAGCCAATCAAAACGCTTGAAGCATATTGTCGAAATGCCGATGAAATGAATTTAGCCAATCCAGAACGATCCCAGCGTTCCAGTCGCCAGACACAAAAATGCTCGCGTACACGACAAGGCGATTTCCATCGGCTCTGCTGGGCATGTTTGAATGAAAGCCCCATGTTCCGCCAGGATGCTGTGGCCGATGACGTGGCACGACGAGAGGACATGATGTGGTACGCCTTGTACTTGTTTGTCGCCAACTTCCCCGCGAAAGATTCCGCATATGGAGAATGGAACGGTCGCGTCCGGCGGTTTTTTTCGCTCTGCGAGTCGGCATCGCTTCACAGCCAATGAAAACGCTCGATTGTTGTCGCTGCCGATCTTTCTCATTCGAAGATTTGCCTGCACGTGACCAGGAGCCGCCGCCCCTGTCCACGACCACCGTTGCCTGAGCGTCAGAGTTCGAGAAACTCTGAAGCGCATCTCGTCCTTGCCTCCTTCCACTTGAATGCCCCCTTGGGGACGTGAACTGGACGCTCTTCTTTGGAAAGCAGTACGTGAAACGTAACCACGCGATTTTGCTCGATACGTACCCTTTTACGACGCACCTGCGTAGCGACGCTGGACTGCTAAAGACTGGGCCTACCTTCATCACATCTGCCGAAACGAACTTTGCATCCGTCGCGTCTTCGACTCTGTTGATTAAGGGAATTTGACGCCACCACAAGATCACCTTCCATGATGAATGCTTTTCGCTTTGCTTCCAAATCCTCGTCTGTGCGTTGGACTACGTCCCGCATTGCAAAATTCTCCACGACGCGGCTCAAATTCCCTGTATCTGCCACACCGCGATGGACCGCAACTGCTACTGCGACAACGTCCCTTCCAAACCAATCTCCACTGCTCTTCTTTCCAACACCCCCCCATCAACGCTCGGTTCTCAAATGTGGCGGCGTCCAGCGTGTGATTTCTAATGAAGAGCGTATTGAAATAACGTGGGCCGACGGGCATACCAGGTATACTAATATCTTCTATGTTCAGTTCCAACGGAATGGATTTAGTCCGTTTTGTCATATCTGGCTTCGTGACAATTGTCCTTGCAAGCAATGCCGCCACCCCATTGCTGAGGAGCGTATGCATGACACACTCAGCATCCCTCTTTCCATCCAACCAGAGAAGGTTTCCATCACATGTGAGCATCTCGAAGTGCATTGGAATGACGAAGCCTTCGAGCAGCGCCGACATGACCCCCATGTGTCGCGATATCCCCTCGATTTCTTACACGAGCATTGCTACCTGCGCCAAACTCGCGAGACCAAACCATTTTACGGCGAAACTTTATGGGACACTGCCACCATTGAAGCTATCATGCCTCGAACCACGTACGAAACCATCACGCAAAGCGACAAAGGTCTGTTGACTTGGTTGAACATGGTCGACGCGTATGGATTTGCTCTTGTCGACGATGTGCCCCCCGACGGACTGCACAACGTGTCGGAGCGAGTTGGTCCAATCCGCAACACGTTTTGGGGTCCTACATGGAGCGTCAAGAGCGAGCCGAAGCCAATGAATTTGTCGATGACAAGTCATGAGCTACATCCTCACACAGACTTTGGGTGGTCGGAAGCGCCGCCAGGGCTGCAATTTTTGCACTGTTTGGCTTTTCAGTCTCCGGACGCTGTCGGTGGCGAGTCCACGCTTGTCGACGGGTATGCTGTGGCCGAGTTACTTCGGTCGCAACACCCCGACGCGTTTGAGTTGCTCAGCAACGTGAGCATTCCCCATGTATTTTCGAGCGAGGACTTGTATTTTCAACACAATGCGCCGATTTTGTCGTTGGACATGACGTCCAAGGCTGTTCGCGATGTTCGGTTCAACCAGGCAAACCGATCGCCGCTCCATCTTCCGCCACACCTCGTTCGCCCGTACTACCACGCCCTTCATCTGTGGACGCAAGCAACTCGGGCGAGTGAAAACCTGCTCCGATTCCGCCTTCATGAAGGCCAGGTCCTTGTGTTCAACAACCGCCGCCTGTTGCACGGACGACATGGCTACGATGCCCAGAAAACGTGGCGTCACTTGAAGGGCTGCTACATGGACTTGGAAGATTACAAAAGCAAGCTCACGATGCTACGGCGCCACCACCTTGGCACTCCACGCAGATTTTCCACCGAGCGATACATCCGCCAGAGTTCTCGCGGCACAACCGTCGGCCTCGATCCTGGCTACGACAACTACAATCAAAAGTATGTCACGGACGCCGTGGCTCATGTACAAGACGTGATTGCGTCGGGCGAGCGGTATGACGACGGCAGTTGCCTTAAGGATGTGGCGCAGGCCCAAACGGCAGCATTCACCAACTTGGACGAAGGCACGAAAGCCGATTATGTGTATCAGTGTTCGCTGTACGACCATGACATCAAGGTAGCAGAAGTTGTGGGTGTTCTTTTGACCCATTTGGTTGTATCTAGGTCAACTTGGTCCCGCGCCTGCAGGGCATGCTCCGCAAACTTGAAGGGGACCACATTCGCCTGGGCACAGGGGCAAAGGTGGATCTGTTTGAGCACAGTTTGCAGTGCGCGACGCTGGCGGTCGAGGACGGCGCGGACGAAGAAATGATCGTGTGCGCCTTGTTGCACGACGTCGGGGAGATGCTCTCCCCATGCAATCATGGCGAAATTGCCGGTGCCATCTTGCGTCCATACGTGAGTCCGGAGCGGTATTGGATGCTGGCACACCACGAGATCTTTCAGGTAGTGTGCTTTGGCGGGATTTAGAAGTGTGAGCGCTGTGTAGGGCTACTACTACTTTCACCACGTGGGGGGTGACCGCCACCGCCGTGACGCATATGCGGACCATCCTTCGTACCAACTCACTGTGGACTTTTGCCACAAGTATGACCAAGCGGCGTTCAATCCGGCGTACGAGTCGTACCCGCTGCGTTTCTTCGAGCCCATGATGCAGCGCGTGCTAGCCCGAAAGGCGTATTGGTTCCAACCAGACCACCCAAAGACTGGCTGTGTCACGGGCTCATCGTTGGCGGCGTAGCAAGAGCCTTGCTCGATATTTTCACAGTGCAAGTTTTTTGACGTCGCGATCGGGTGCCGACGCGTTGTGTGGCGCGCGTGTAGCTTCACAAGTTGGTTTGGCGGTACATTTTGAATGGTACATAATTGGAGCTAGTCGGAATCGTTGTCGTAGTCCGAGTCTTCCGGTTCCAAGTCGGGGACCCCCGCCCGCTTGCGCGATGCAAGCATTTGTTTGTACTTTGTCGGGTACTTGCGCTTCCATCGCGCCGCCAAGTCGTGTTGGTACGCGAGCATGTTCTCCGGCTGCCACAGCTCGCGACTCAACACTTCGTCTCGGTCTTCGATGAATTGGTCGCTGTGGAAATACTCTGGCGAGATGCCCTGGGCACACAGCGTTAAGAGTCGGTGGACATGCCGAGGATACCAGAGCTTTGCACGTGAGGTACTCGACGTCGTCGGGGGCGAAAGGATTGTTTCGCACTGTGTACTTGAACCACCACGTGAGGTGCCACTGCGCGACCTTGGCAATTGTGACGGGCAAGAGCGCCAAGCGGACGACCAACAAGTTGGCCACGCTATTCAAGCCCTGAGGAAACGTTCGACGAGCTGGCAGACAAACCTGGGCTTGGCGTATCCGCCAGAGATTTCTACATTCTCCATGAGTTCGTCGACGATCGCTGTCAACTCGGCGCGGTCGTGCTCTTTCTTCTGCTTCTTGTCTTTCCCGCCAACCCCGCGCTGCCGCGTCTTTGCTTGGTCGTCACATCGGCTTGCCTGAGCACGTCGACTTGATTGGATCGATTGAGCTTTGCGGACGACGTCTTTGCTCTTTTGGTGGAACGACCGCATGACCATGCGAGGAACGACACGAGTCTGAACTTACCTCTCGAAAGTACGCCAGCGCTTGCTTGTGGCGATGCAGCTGAGCGTAGTATTGCACGAGCGACAAAAACAAGATGAAGACGATGCCAATCACGCGGTAGTCGGATTTTGGCGCGTACACGTGGTAGACGTGCATGCCGTAGTTGTACGCATGATCGTCGGGGTTGTTCAGGTAATGATCATACGCTTGTCGAGAGAGACCCCCCGACAACACTTCGTATGCTGTTGCAATTTCCTGGAATATCTGGGCCGCGTCGGGACTCGGGTTCTTGTCCGGGTGGAATTGCAGTGACAGTATCCTGTAGGCTCGTCGGATGTCCGCCGTTGTCGCGGTCGTTTCTTGTCCTCGCAAGCCAAGAATGTCGTAGCACTCGCGGCGGCCACAGTACATGTTCTGTGCATAGGTTGAAACGATGAGGAGCAGGAGCCCCAGCAAAACGAACGCGCCGCAGCGCCGCCGACACGTCATCACGTTGTGAAAGGGAGGGTTGACGGAAGCATTGAAATCAGCAATTTTTCTCAAGTGGAAAATTTCTCAAAGGAAATGTATAGAGCACTGCATATTAAAAAACAAGGTGGTATCCGGATGCATCCGCACAGCAACACGACAGCGGACGGCGGCGGTGGCGGAAATGGTCAGGAAGAAGGGAGTTCTCTCTATAAGTTGACGTTTCTTGCTAGTGAAGGGAGTCTATAGTCCAGGAGGACGGATGGCCGCAGCAGCTTGGGGGTCGGGGTTGAACACCGGAATGCGGAGGGACGCAACTTCGGTTTGCAAGTTCAGGTTGAGTTGATGCAGCACGCGGTTTTCATGTTGTACTTGCTCAAGTCGCGCTAGTGGACCACAAGTCAGAATGCACAAACTTTTCAGCGCCATAAACGAGTGCACGCACCAAGAGCTTGGGCCAAGTGTTCGCGGAGCTGCCGATTCTCCGCCTACGCCAAGATGAATCAACCACTTCACCTTGCCTGTCGACCGCCGTACCTGGCCATTTCGGTTGACAGTGACCAGCGACTCGGCAGTTTGCTTGAAATACTGCGCGCGCGCCATCACTTGCTCCACTTCAAGCACTTGATCGGGCTAGCGTAGACGTTGCCGTGACCGAACGCGAGTGGCATGTCTGCTGTACCTGTCCTGGAAGGATCACTGTAATATGAGCCGGCACGTATGTGACTCCAGACAAAGAAGGGCCAGATCGCGGCGGCGGCGAATCCACTCGCTCGGGTGAAGTCCATTGGTGCTCCTGTGAAGGCTGTGGCGACGGCACCGCCGGAGTTGAGTTGCGCAAACTAGGAGGAATGTACTTGTCCTTCTTTGGCAAGTCACGTTGCTGCGCCTGTGGAGGTGTCGGAACTTGAGATGACGTCGGCTGACGTCGCTGCGGTGTCGACGACGGTTTAGGTTGCTGCTTGGTATGCGGTTGCTTTTGAGGCGGTGGAGGAGGCGCCGAGGACTGCGCCGCGTGTACAGGCGAAGGCGATTGTGGCGACCCGACTGCCTCATTCTTTGTGCCCAATGCAGCACTTGCTCGGGCATATGAAGACGCAGGAGCAACGACTGCAGAAGGAGGTACATCTACCACAGACACTTGTTCCACCGCTTGAACCACCTGTACGCATTTGGTGCATGAGAGATCAAGACGGCACTGCAACACGACGCACCTCATCCACCGTGTCGACAGCGACAGTTGAATGGGTTTGGTTCTTCTTCTTCTTCGACTTCTTTGACGACGTCGTCATGGCCAAGCTCTTGAGCGCATTTTCCTCCCTACAAGCCACTCGCCCCATGACGATCCACGCCAAACAGCATCGTTCGAACTCATCCAACGTACTGCTTCTTGGCCTTTTGCTTCTGCTTCTGCTTGCTGCTCTTGGCAGATTTGTCGTCCTGGCGATGGGACACCACCGCGTCATCTTCGTCCGAGTCTTCTGCGTACGCGAGGAACACGCTCTTCTTCATGGCTGGTGGCGGGACTTGGGGGCAATTTCTATGCCATGTCAATGCCAATGGTTTCAATACTGTGAAACATTATGCGGTGAACATTCATTTGTACAGTGTAGCCCAGGTGACAATAAATGGTCTCGCCCTGCGTGCCTCCGACGACACATCGTGGACGGGAACCAGCGCCATCCGCTGCGTCATTCAGGACTAGAATAGCCTGGTAGTGGAGCGGTGGCAGGTACACGTTGGGTAGAGGGCTGAAGCAGGAAGTGCGCCAACTTTCGCGAACATTGCGACGATCGTTGTGGCAGGTGGCACCTCAGCCTACCATGGACGCACCCGCCAGCAGAGGTTGAAGGAGCTGTGCATGACGACAGGGCCAACGCGTACGCGTATGTATGGAGGTGAATCCCCCTCGCTGTTGGCATCTGCATGCGCTCGAGTTCCTTTGGCTCTGGAGTTGTCTCGGAGTTGCGGTGGAAGAATTTAATTTCGATTGAATGTATAGAAATTTGTATTCGAGTGATTCAAACAGCTATATATATTCAATTCCACAGGTGTGGGGTCATTGCGCTGCTGTAGCTCAACTGTACGATGGACCAGTCGCTCGACGATGTGATCAAAAGCAAGCGCGATGCGACCAAGGCAGCCAAAAGAAAGCAGAATGCGCCAAATAAGACCAACAAGCTTGATCCAGTTGCATCCTTCCGTGGTCCCAAGGCACAGTTTGCCAAGCACCACCACGATACTGCACTCGACGACGATACGCTATCTCTTGGCACGGCTGAGCAACTCGGCATGTCCCTCGGTACAATCCTGCACCTCATGCACAACATCCTAACGCGGTTGGCTAGATGACTTGCTTGCGGCGAAGCGACCGTCACCAAAAACCCGTCCAGTGCCGTCTGCGACACAGGTATGGCGGCATCGCACGTGGACATGCCATTCTCAAATGTGCATCCCTTCGTTCATCAGGCCAAGCTGCGTAATGCTGCTGTTCAAGGGGCCCAGGCAAAACGCCAAGCGAGTTGGAACCATGTACGAATCGTCGTCGCTCTTTTGCCGGGAGGTCCCGTGATGTTTGTTGGAATACAGACGCGCGGCTTGCCTGGAAAACCACATCGAGCTACAGGGTCATCCCTCACAGTCACTATTCGCAACTCCAAAGACAAATCTCATCGCCAAGCAGCCGGCACTCACCAACGGCAACCTCACACTGGTCGTCCCGCCAGTGACAACATGCTTCGGCGCGTGAACCTCGGCAAACGCAGAAAACATCGATTGCATGTCGCCGACGCCAACGAGGAGAACAATGACGAGTCTCCACCACCGCGACTCCAGGCGTGGGAACAGCACAGCCTTGAGCACCCGGTCAGGTTTACCCTGCCCGAGGGCACCAACTTCAAGATATCCATCGAGTACGTCCTTCCGCTGGCCCGTGTGTACGTGATGGACCCCTCGTATGTGGACGTAGTTCGAATCGTGTCCACTCGGTCGTGGGCATCGACCCATCGGCCACCTCGTCTGGCCCTGGCATGTCGCTACGACAATAAACAGCGATGGCGAGTTCGTTCATGTCAATTGCTCCACTTAGTCAAATGACGCCGCGCGGTGCTGCCGGCGCAACAGCCGAATCGTCTCGACGTCTTCGTCGTCATCTTGAAGTAGGGCGCTAAAATGGTTGGCCGACAGCGACTGGCGCAGGGGCTCAGCGACACATCGCCGCCACGTCCACGAAAACGGTGTCGACGTCCTGCCTGAAGTCGCGCCATCGCGCCCTTGCCCTTCCCCAGGTGACTGTGTTTCAATGGGTGGATGGGTCACGAGGGATGGTGTGGCCTCTGGTGACGACGTAGGCGACGAGGACGACGACGAGGACGACGCGGGTGACGGAGGGTGGCAGAGTGGAGCATGTCGACGCAGACAAGCCGCGCAGAACGATGCATGGCATGTGGCACATGGATGCACCGCGCGGAAAAAGTGGAACCGCACGGCGCAGAGGCGGCAGCGTGACGTGTCTATCAGCGCTGGGGTTTCTGTCGAGTTGGACACGTCGTCCAGCGTGAGAACTCCGGAGGGAGCAGACGTAGGGGTGGCCAAGGTAGTTGTAAACGCGTGCGGGCAAATGCTAACGCCATCCGACTCAACGTCATCGAACGGCGGGCTGGTGCGCGATGGCATATGGAGGTGGTGGAGATGGTGGCGATGGCTGCGTCGCCGCCGAAGCATCCTGTGCACGAGAGCCACCGACTGACCAAACGCATCCAGGAACGCGTGCGTGCCATCCATTTTGACGGCGAGGACCGACGGCACGCAAGAGTCGCCGTAAAAGGACACACGAGTACGTGAAGCCGACAATGCTTCCACATGCAGCCCGCCGACCACGTGCGTCATGATGGTCGACGACGACGACCGGACTACAGCATCTGGTGCTGTTCCCGACGTTTGCCGGTCGACAGATTTGAACACTCGGGTCCACGATGCAGGAGCGGATGGAGATGCGGCGCTGCCGCGCGCGTGGTCGAGAAAGGTTACCTGCATGGCTTGCTGCCGCTTGTATCCGCGAGGGACGTGAAGATGGAGTCGCTGGATAGCTGTAGTCGATGACGACGAGGTCGAGTTCGCAGCGCGCCAAAGTTCCGTCGCAGCGAGCATCTGAGGACCAAAGACATGCCCGAGAAAGGACCGATGGGTCAGGATCGACACCACGTCGTCGAACGATGACGGAATGTCCATTGACGCGTGCACCACGTAGAGACATCGCACGCCATCGAAGGTTTTTCGCACAATGTCGTCCGGTGGCTTGTCCGTGAGCCGCTGCTCCCGAGCAGAGCATTCGGCACGAACGAGATCAACAATGTCGTCACCGCGGCTGGCAAGCGTCGCATCGTCCATCACTGTGCGATCGTAGTCCAGGAAAGCGCGCGGCCAGTGTGACCGGTTCTCGATGTGGACTGGTGGAGGTGCATCCGCTGGGGTGTACATTGAGAGATCCATGACCCAGTTGCCGACAATCCACGACAAGCTCGGACGTTTCGACAACGACAGGACTGGGGTCGCCTTGCCACCTCGCCGGACCGGTGGTGCTTCTTCTGCATCGAGGAGGGGTGGACCGACAGGGGAAGCGAGGGAACGCCGTCGGCCTGTACGCCGACTCCTAGTGTCAGGTGACGAGGATGGTGAATCCATCGCGTCTTCGTTCGAAGAAAGATCTCGACTGCGACGGCGTCCTTCGCGGGCCGCTGCCATCCTAAGAAATTGTGAAGCGCGAAATTATTACGACCCCATTGGTACAGGTGTGAGTATCGCGCTTGCCATCTGGGAGTTGTGTAGAATGCAATGCCCATTGCAACAACAATGGTCTCACATCTCGCAAAAATTCGACGAATATTTGAACGTTTTTCATCAATCTGCAAATGAATTTGATTTTTCGTACGAAAACGTGAAATTTGAATTCCACACAACCGAGACAGCCACGTTGGTACACACGAGTTGCAGCCATGGATTTGGCTGGCGACGGCCGCATCCTCACAAACTTCTTCGCTGCATGCGACCGCAACCCAAGTGGGCAAGCACCATCGTCTGTCTGATGTGGTGTCGTCACCGAACACGGCGCTGCAGCGCGTTATTCCATCGAGCGACGCGAACTGCACCACGATACCTGCCTAAGAACAAACCTGCAGCAACCACGGTGTCGACGCTTTCGTCAACCAACATGTACACAAGAATAGCATGTCGTGTTTGCATGAGGACGATTGTGTTTCGACCTAGAGGTACCCAATGCAGCCGCCGAGTTTCCGATTTTCAGGCGATGCTTGGCTCGAGGAATCCAAGGAACGATTTTTCGCCAAACAAGGGCAGGACGAATAGGACCTCGAAAGGGCTTCATGATGGAGCAAAACACTCCCGCGCAGCGCCGTCGCGCACGTGCAGCGCTCACGTCGTAAGCCGTATCCATTATTATCGTTGGCTTCGATACAATCTTTAGTGGACGTGATGCGTTCGTTGGATATGGGTTCAGCCGATGTCTCACTCTGTCGATTCAAGGGGTCTACATGGCAGAGCCACTGCACTTTCCGCATGCGCAGCCCCAGCTTGTGGACGCAAACCTCTTATGCTTCGGCTATTCCTGGTACACCGCGCATGCAACTCGGCCGTGGAGCAGCAGGTCGGTGGCTTTCCATTCCACCAGCTTCATCAGCCCTATGCTTGGAAGGATGGCTAGAGTGAGAAGCATGGACGAGTGCACGCATTGGCATCATATGCCTGACATTGAAGCCGAAAATGAATGAGGTATTCCTGGACGGGCGCGGTGGTTCCGTCGGTGCCACGCCGTCCCCCTTCCACGGACCCGTCGTTTTCAATGGTTGCGAATGGTAGAAAGCTTGGAACGGCACATGCGATGTGATGAACTAACGTTCCCGGCCCACAGACAGACGTGGAAACCGCTGCAACGTTCCCGAGCCAGGATTGTAAACGTATGCTGTGATTCCTTCTGTTCCATGTCACACATACGCCTGAAGATCTCCAAGCAACTGTACGGAGGGCGAGGGCGCTGCACGACCGATCCCAACGTTGCCATCGACGGCACGGTGACCGATCGAAGGTGCGTCTTCGTCGAGTGGCCCATGAGACTGGGCCATGCCCGTTCCATGCATGTGTCCATGCGAGTTGGATGGAGAATCTGAACGCATGTTGCATGAACTCGGTGTGCGCGCGCGATCGCGTCCATGTACACCAAAGCCCACAGCGCTATGGCCACACGCCAGTCTGCCACAAACGCTGACTTTCGTGCATGTTCGCCGGCCGACCTGGACAGGCGTGTGGCGTCTCGACCACTGTCACAACACAGCTTCACGTTCGGAAGTGTTTTGCCAACCAGATTGAATGGTCTGTGCGACTTCGTGGAGGACCAGGTCCGCCCACCACGGTGTGTTTCATCAGGGGCAGGTAGAGACTGGCGTTTCGCTGGAACGGACAACCCCATGCACGCTTCCACGGACAGCATGGGACTGTTGTCCCAAACGTTTGTGGTTTCGATCCCCCGGGCCCGCGGAGTCTCTCGCCCACGACATTCTCCCGGCGTGCCACCACGCTGAAGGGACGACTTCGTCCAAGACAAACCCAACGAAATACGGTCCCTTGTTAACATTATGTGGACATTTAAATATTCGAAAAATGATGACGCTTCATTTTCACATTTCCGCTTTCTGCGTGGGGGAGACGTTCGCTGATCTTGTTCGACATCACGGTGCCGCCCGTGATGGGTACACTGGGACCGTTGGCGGCACACTTCCTGCGCTGCACCCAATGCTGTGGACTGGTTCCATCGAGTTGGACGAAAATCGTATGCGATACCACCCAAGTGACGCACCACGTCGGCACAAGATGGGTTGGGGGGAGCAAAACCGGTATTGCGATTGGTTCAAAAGAAGAAAAAAATCCAAATAACATGACCATTCGAGACACCCCACTCGACGTCCGTCGTGAAGTGGCCGAGTGGCACACCCACCAACGACGTCGCAAACCGGCGCTCAGCTGGGCATAGTCATAGATTAGCCTACTCCAGGCTTCATGAAGTCTCCACGCCGCTCCCGTTCGCTTGTGATCGTCCTGCATGGTGACCATCTGTGGTCTGCCGCCGACATGTGCGCAGATTGGTCTGGTTCCAAAAGTCGCTGCTGGCTCGTTCTGATGCTGCCAGCTGTAGCCGATCGGGACATACGTGCGCCTTTCTCGAGTCTGGATTCCGACCTTGTGCACGGTGCAATCAAGCATTTGCGCAGCGCCTGCAGTCCGTAGCAGCGCACCGCTCCTTCTGTCCGTGCCAGCTCTACCAACCAACATTGTCGAGAGCAGTCGCCTATCGTCATGCATGCCGGGTCGGCATTTACCTTCAGCGACATCCACCACTACATCCAGTCGTCCCGGTCGTCCATGCAACGGATGTCCCAGCCACAGCCCGCAGGACCAGCCGCCGCCAACCGACTCGACGCGCCATGGTCGTTTCTCACCTACGACCCAGCAATGCCTGTAGAGCAGCTACTCCAGCGAGGCGCCCATCTTGTCCAGTATGTGAGCCAGGAGTGCCATCGTGGAATGCTAGCTGCGTCGTCCCCCGGTCGCGCCGTCAAAGACTCGGATCGAAATCTCTTGCATGTCCATGCGACAGCTGACCTGCCCGGTGTGTCCACATGGAGAGTGCTGCGGACGCTTGCCGGACCAAGCGGGACTTCATTCGACGACTTTTTGGACAGACTCCTCGGCGACAAACTCGAAGGCGTAACACTCCATCGCAATGCGTGCGCAGACACCTATGGCCGGCCGTGGGCCGATTCATCTCGCGTACCGCCGCGGATGGTGTCGGTGGGCAGTCTCTACTACGACGACTCGTCGCTCTTCAAGCACGCGACCAAGGAGCTCGTCTACCTGGACTACATGCACATCCACTCGGACGAGCGGACGATCACGCGAGTGTTCAAATCGGTCGACTGCGACCCCCTGGCCCCGAAGAAGCACGTCGAGCGGCACAAGCACATTTTGTTTGGGTATTCCATCGAAGACATCACGCGCCGTCCGTGTGGTGGCGACGCCGACGACGAAGACAGCTGCACTACCCGCGTGACGTTCTACGGCGACTACGCGATGGCGCTGTCCGAGCCAGGGCGGGTAATTCGTGATGCGAAGCACTTTCTCGAGAAACTAGCCACGTCCATCCAATTGCTTGAACGCATCCTGGCCGTTCATTTGCCCAAGCTGTCGGCCCATTCAACCAACACGCACGTTCGCTCGTGCCACACTTGCCTCCAGACGTTTTCGCGCATTCGCAGCCCCACGACGTGCGTTGGATGCACCATGTGCTTTTGCGTCGACTGTCTGTCGCCCCATGAAGTTGCGGACACCCCCAGCACGTCATCGTCGTCCAGCGGCAGCCGGCGGTCTACTTGGAGGACGTGCCATGCCTGCTACGCCAGCTCGAACCCGCGCCGCCGCTTTAGCCAGTCCAGTCTTCGCGACGCCATGTCGTTTGCCACTTCGTCGACTCCTACGCACCACAACGACACCATCGTGGCTACACCCAGGACAAGCCTCACGACTTCTCGAACCAAACCGACGTTGCAAGCCCCCTGCGCACAGTGCACCGTCCGACCGGCGACCCTGGCATGTCGACTGTGTCGTGATCTGTGCTGCCAGCCGTGTTGCCGAGTCGAGCGGTTTGTTGATCCGCATGGCGACGTGTCATTTGACGTGTGGACTTGCACCAACTGCATCGCCCAGACCACTGCCGAGACGTCGCCGCCCCAGGCCAAATCCCAGCCGGTGGCAACCCCCATCAAGACACCTCCTCCCCATCCGTCCACCCAAGCCAAGAATGAAATTGCGTCGTCGCGCGGACCGTCCGATTTCATCGACCCTCGGCCCCACACCCTACTGTTCAATTACCTCGTTCGGATTTCCGAAGGCAACGAGTCCGACAACCTCAGCTCCAGTCCGCTCGAACTCGGCCCCTGCGAACCATCCCCACCACAAAGCAGCTCGTCCCCAGATGCGCCACCGTCTGCAGATGCTCTGCCAGCGTCGATGAGCTCTCCCCCGCCACAGTCCCTTTCCAACGCTCCCCTTTCGGACCAGACAAAGCCGCACGACCCCCCCATGTCGCCCGCTCACCTTGATCATATTCGGACGGCCGCTGTCCTCGACCTCGACACGAACGACGACCTGGACGCACTCTGCCTCCAAACTGCAACTCGCATGGAGTGCACGTATGCGTTCGTCAATTTGATTTACAAAGGCGCGTACATGCTCAAAGGCGTGGCGGCCATCGGCGCCGCGATGCCAACGTCGATTCCGCGGGACTGCGCGCTGTCGTCGCACAGCAGCTCGTTGCCGCTCCTGGTACCGGACGCTGAAATGGACGCACGGTTCGCGATGTCGCCGCTTGTCACGGGAAAAGAGCACATTCGGTTCTACTACGGCCTCCCCCTAGTCACAACGACCGGCGCTCTTCTTGGCACCGTGGCCGTCGCGGACAACCACCCGCGCGTTCGAGTGTCGGCTAGTCAGCGCGACGACCTGGTCGAGTTTGCATCCCAAACGGCAACCTTGATTGCGACTCGCCTCAACCTCCAGTAGCACCCCATGCCACTACCCCCCAGCCCCCATGCATTGCAAGACATAAACGAGTGCAGCTCGTCGCCAGCCTCTCCCCTGTGACGTCGCCCCGCTCTTCGCGTAACTTAAAAATGAAATTGACCACTCTCATCAGTGCGAACAACCCAACACAGCAGCAACGATGGCCCCAAGGATGCTCTTACTTCATGCTCGTCAGTCCATCGACTGTGGGCTGCACAGCCGTGAACTTGAATCGTCTTGTCAGGGGGTGGGGAACGAGCTCCCCAGGCAACAGGGATGCGCTTCTTGCACTCACGAGTCGTCACCGCTTGATGCCGTGGACGAGCGCGGCAACGCGTCGGGCGAACTCTTCCATAGCGTGTTTTTGATGGCGCCCGATGCGCATGCGGGGCGACGTATCGAGGGCGCACACGGTCCCGATGACATGGCCATTTCCCGCCTGCACGACGACGCCGTAGTAAAACCGAATGCTTTCTTTCCCAACGACCCGCACCGAATTCTGAAACCTCGCGTCGACCGTCGCGTCGGGAACGATCAGCGGGTCCGCGCACGCCGCCACCGTGTGCATGCAAAACGCACAGGAGACGGGGATCGATACAGGAACGTAGCCCGTCCCAGCCGCCCCCTTGAGCATAAACTGGTCCTTGTACAGCAGTACCACGTACGCATTGGAGCACTCCATGGCCACGATGGCATCTTCGCACAAGGCGTCGTACGCTGCATTGGACGATATGTCGAGGCACGCCGCCTCCACCTCGGCTGGCGTCACGTCATGCAGGGCGCATGGCGAAGAGAGAGCGCTTGGGGATGTTGACGCTGTCGCGGGCGTCCCGCCCGACGTTGTATCGTCGTCAGATGGGGCGGTGGGCTTTGCGGTGTCCCCTGGGCCACCAAGACGTTGTTGCCTGGCATCTTCATGGATTTGGATCGGAAACACAGCATCGTGGGGGAGTTGCTGATGCAAGTCGTCGCCATCGTCGCTGAAGGGGGGGTTAGTTGGGGCGGACCGCCGCGTGGAAGGCATGGGCATGAGATCGTCGGTGCTCGACAAGCTGATGTCGTGTAGAGCTGCTGACGAGCTTTGCACGGTACTCGCATACGTGTCTCGCAACCGAATGTGCATTTCGTCGGAGAGCGTGGATATTCGCGGCGGCGGCGGGATGCCATGGGTTGTGTCGTTGCATTCAGTGCGCGGCGTTGGCGGAGGCGATGGCAGCGATGAGAGCGGCGACAGCAACGTGGGCAACCGAGGGCTCGATTGAAAGGGCGGAGCACCGTGTGGCTGCACGTCGAGTTGAGAAGGGAGAGTGACGGGGGGTGGCAAAGCTTGGGGCGGGAGCAGCAGCACGGGAGCCGGGGGCCGGTTCGCCGGTGGTTTGCATGTCCTGCACACAACGTTGGCGAGGTCTGTGTCGGCACACTTGCCGCAAAAGTACATGCCGCAGACGGCGCACTGCGCCTCCGACTGCTGGATCGCGCAGGACTGGCACATGGACGGCCTCAACGTGGACTTTCGAAGGGGCGGAAGGCCCATACTGCTTTCACTCCACCCGTCATCGTCGTCGTCGACGTCGTCAAGGAGAGGGGCGAGCCCCGTGGCAGAGGGGCGGTTTGGATCTGAATACGGCGCGAATGTAGAGCCGACGGACCGCGGCATGGCGGCGCTGGCGTCGTCGGCATTCGTTTGTCCGTTGTTGGTTTTGATTTGGACCAGACACACAAAGCAGACGGGAACGTTGAAGTGGAGCCCGGTCGGGCTGGTTACGTTTTCGAGAGCTGAGCAGTCGACGCAGATGCTGCCGCCGCAGACGCTGCAAGTACAAGCTCGTCGAAACCAGTGGAATCCTTTGGCGCAGCTCCGGCAGGTTGCGTCGACGATGCCTGGCTCTACCGGTGGCTGGACGGCGAGTAGTCGATTGTCTGGAGGCGTGCTTCTTCGCCGCCGATGCTGGTGCAGCATTTGCGGCCATGACACAATGCAATGACCAAACTTTTCCAAACGAAGGCGAGTGTCGAGCGAACTCGCAAACTGCTTGGGGTACACGGCATGCTCCGCGTAGTACGTGACTCGGACGCCGGCCGGCCGAACTGCGGTTGGACTGATCAGCTCCATGAGGTAGCCGCCCATGATGTGCGTGTGCCGAGGAACGATGTGGTCGCGACTCGTGGTGGGGTAGTTGCCGTTGTCGATCGATTTGAACACCCACAGGATCGACGTTGGCGTCATGGGCTGGACGTGGTCCACGAGCAGGATCTCCTTGGGGTGTGTCAGGAAGATGCCTTTTTCCCGAAAAAGCACTTTCTTCAGGGTGCACGCCGGTGGCACGTGCAGGTGGCGCTGGTCATGCTCGATGCCGGCCTCGTAGGTCCCAGTGGCGCCGATCGCGGCCAACGTGTGCAGCTGAACCATATCTTGGTCGCTGAAAATTCGTCGAAGGAAGCCGTCGTCGGGTTCCTGAAGCAGTTCGACCACGTCGGCTAAGGTTGCGTCGGCAATGCTCACGTCCGAGAAGACTGTGAACAGCTGCAGCCGTTGGCTGTACTTGGACACGAGGTGGCCGTTCGTCGTCAGTACCACCTCGGTCGATTCACTGGGCTTGGCGCGCTGGTCTCGCGGCACGCCGGCGCGCTTGGCGCACTCGTGCTGGAAAATCGCGACGATGTCGTCCACGCGCTCGAGAATGTCCTCGTCCTTGCATGACGGTAGGTCCTCCATGAAGGCCCATGGCCATTCGCCGCGACTGGACGGACCTCTATCCAGCGGACTCGCCTTGTTGTTTGGCCGCGGTGCGTCGACGATTGGGTGCGACGGCTGTTGTCGGTCGCGGCGGGTCGACGGGTTATGAACGAGCCCATGGCGCCGCGTCGACGATAGCAGTACGACCGCGTCCTCTTCTATATGTGGATGTGCGCGGGATCTGCTGGGCCATGCCACGGGCGACGACTCGACAGTCGCCCTGGCTGCTCGCACCGCAAGCCCACGTGATTCGGTTGGCATCAATTTCGTAATTCTGTGTGCAACACCAACATGTGGCATATCGCCCCACAACCTTCCACGGATTCCAACACGGGAGGAAATGCGCCTTGCGCATCAAAGGGGGGCGGCAGCTGCCTCCTCCCCTTGAAAAGAGATCACGAAAGCGCCGCCTTGGTGGTCCGCGATACCTTGGTGGCTGCCTGTGCATGACAACTCTCCTGCGTGCGCCACCAAACAAGGCGTTGGCGGGCGAAAACTCTACCCAAGCATCGGCACGATGCCACACCTGCCACGAGCAGGGGCAGGGGGTCATGCAGGTCTCGGCGATATCAAGCATCGCGCCTCGGCGTGGAAGTGTCGATCTCGACCATGTCGGCGTCCAGGCTCCTCTGCTACGTATTGGGTGGAAGGTCGAGGTTGACCATCCCCCACAAGAGTATCCGTGGAATGGCATGCAAGTTGATTCCTTGATGCTCATGTTGCCGGACGATAAAGAGCGGCGAAGGAGGTGCTAGCACGAGTCATTGGCATGGGCAAGACCATTGAAATGAGCCATCAACAGAGTGGTTTCCCCACGGGCGTTGCATGGGATGAATGAGCATGCACAAGCCGAGTGTGTGGCAGATGGCGAAGCGGGAATGTGCTGGCAGGTTGCAATCGTGTAACATATCGATGTGAAGAAGAGCGTTAGCTGGAGTGTGATCTTCACCAGTGCTGGAGCTTGACGTGAGAAGGCAGCACTCATCGAACCACACAGTCGAGGTCTACTATAGCGGCCGACGTGCGCGGCATGACCTCAGACTCGCCTGGCTCGAAGGGGGCGGCGCGCACGCACAACAACAGCAACCTTGGAAGGTGGCACTTATTCGACGGCTCGCATTGCCAAGGGACTCGTCGCATGGCCCTTGTGGTGCCAACCAAAGAGCCGTTCATTGTTTGCATCGTCGAACAAGTCGTTGTCCCATCCATCCAACTCAGCGACGACGTGGCGGCATCGTCGGAGTACGAGCGACCCGCCAGGCGCAGCAAATCTTGGTGTTTGCAGGGCAACCCCTGCGGTGCCGAAGCGTTGTGAGGAAGGAGGGCGTGGCCTGCGTCCTCGAGATGAAGGACGTGGACGGCTTTCACCAACACTTACTCGACCGCAGCCTTCATGCTGACACTGAAAATCATGTCACGTCGATCGTGGCGACTGTGCCAACAAGTCTACAACAATCGGACACTTGAAACGAGTGACGAACATTTTTTCCTCCCGTCCGACGATTCGATGCCCTGGCCCGGTCGCCACAGCTTGCACGAGAGCCTCGTACGACGTCCCTGCACGACGCCTTCTTCCCATGCACCAGCGCGACATCGAAACCCCATGCGCGATTCGTCATCGTGCCCATACATGTACCATCGGCAGCCGCGTCTTGGCTATGGTCGCGGCCGCCTCGACGGTTGCCTGTCGGAGAGGTCGCCGTGGATGGCACGTGAGTTTGTGCAAAGGGCGATTCGAACGAGTTCGGTGGGCTGTCATGGCTCGTGCTGCGTCGCCAGACGTACAAGCGTCGAGTTGAGCCATGCTTTCCATCTCACGGTGGTATCAACGTTCTCGTGACCAGAAGCGGGCGCTGCTTGGGGACGGCAGCGCCCAAGATGCTCTTGAAACCAGCACACGCATGTTTCACGTTAACACTGCAAATAAATACGACTTGCCCGACTCTAAAAGCTCGGCGCCCCCATCATGGCCAATACCTCGTCAAACCACAACGACGTGCCGTCGTCCATGACGTCGTATGCGGGGGGGCGAGTCACAACTGGAACGGGGCGCGCAGGAGCAGCCTTTGGCATGGGCGCCTTGACCGCCGCGACACGTTTCAAATGTAAAAGTGCGGCGATTCTTGCCTCCAACTGAGTTTGTCGTGGGTCAGCGTCCAAGGCAGACGGCTTCGCGACTTGTAACTTGACATCTTGGGATGGTATCGATGCGGCATCGAGCAAGTTGGTGTCGTTGGATTCAGCGGCGGCAGTCTCGGTGGATGACGCGCTTTCGGCCACGATGGCAAGGGTTTCATGTCCCTCGGACGGGATATCAAGAGGTTCTCCTGTTACGTTGGGGGATTTCACATGCACATCTTCTTCGCGGACTACCACCAGAGGCTCTTTCACGGGCTCCATGGGCGACAAAGCAGGATGGTGCGCTGAAACATCATGGGGTCGTCGAAGTGGCTGGTGGGAAGGGTTTGAGAGAATGTCAACACGGCCAAACGTCATAGTGTGATGGGGTGTCGAGTCAAGAGCAGTCGCCGTGGTGCTGTGGCGCAGCGTTGGCGCGTGTGTACTATCACGGCTCGTCCGCGGTGGCCTCGTGAAGTCGGAGGCAACGTTGCTAGGGCGGGTCGCATTCGTGCCAACGGGGGACGGTTTGTCGCCGACGAGGCGGTCAAGGAAGCTCGGTCGCTCGCTCGTGGACAAGGTTTCCGAGTCGCGGGGTTGCAGGAACGAAAGTCGGCGAAAGAACGAGTCGCCACGTTTGCGGTCGGACCGAAACACATCGGACCACCGCGTGTCGTCTTGATCGTCGTCATCCTTCTTGGACTTGCGCATCGAGAGCGACTTGAAGAACTTCTTGACGCGACCCTTCTTCGGATCCACGTCACGCTCGGCCGTCGACGGCTCAGGTGCCTTGATCGACCGCACGTACAAGAGCATGGCTTCGTGGGACACTTCCATGGTGGCGCGTGTGCGAACGTTTGAGAATGCCCGGCGACCGACCGACCGCACACGCACGGCCCCAAGTCAACACCCATCCGTATGTGTGGCCATTTTGGCCAATGCCATCGCGGAATGCCTTCGAAGTTCGACGGGGCGGCCACGTTGAATTCGACGAGTGGAGTTTAAACGTATGATGGCCATTGTATGTACTGGTTTTACGTATAAAACCTGTCAACCCAACTGCGTTATATGATTGTAGTGATAGTTAAAACGTCCCTGCCCGCTCTTGTAACAACAATCGTATGGCCATGGAAACGTCAATTCACCAGGCGCGGATGGCTTCGATGACTCGATGGAGCGACAGACATGGCGTTCGCTTCACGCGTGAGTCGCGAGCATGGAGGGAACAGGAGAGGGGGTGTCTTCATGGGTGACGACCGGGTCCAGAACGAGTGTTCGAGAATTTATGTGTCGAGAGATCGAGAGCCCCACGCGTCGTTTGCACAGGCTCCGTATATCACGCCGCTCGTCACGTACGGTAACGTGTATATCTCCCAGGTGCTGCTGCCACATGCCGCTGAACTCTGCCACCCCGACGGAACAAGGCGGCGACAACCTGTTGGCCTCGATGCACCCAATGTCGGGTCGAAGCAAACGCGGAGGGGCTTTCGAAGCAGCCCGTGGTGTGGTCAGCAGGGCTATCGGGCTTTCGAAGCAGCCCGTGGTGTGGTCAGCAGGGCTATCATCCTCGGCAGAGTTTCAATGAATCAGCTGTTTGTATTTGCAGGGTCGTCGTCAACTGCCCTCGTCGGCTGTGGCCTGCGCCACGTCCATAAAGGCCTCTGGGATCGGGTTGCGAATCCACGGCGGCCGAAACACAAAGTAGAGCCCGTTGTCGCCGGGCTTGGTGTTCCAGTCTTCGACCACCTACAGCCCACACCACCACCCCCCTGTCAATCCAAACCATGCCGTCATCCTTGGTACCTTGAGCAGCGCGTACTTCGTTGTGATGCGGTGGTTGTTGCACAGGACATTCATGTATGCTGTCACGGCGTGCTCGACGCCGCCGATTGTGTCCACGTCAAAACGAATCTACAAACAACACACAGCCATTCGATGTGGTCGTCCTGCCAAAGCATACCGCAATGTTGCCGTCGTCTGTGGGCGCAATTACAATCTTGCAGTCTTCCCAGTCGCTGACGATCGTTTCCGTGAGCTCTTTTAACAGATCGGGCAGCATCTTTCGCGTGGGCGGCGCCCCAATCGCCTTGGTCGCGCCGCCAGGAATGAACGCGCCGTGCAAGATCTTCTTGTCCTCCATCCATCTCTTCCGTACGGCAGCGTCGATCGCGTCGTTGTAGTGCACCTCCATGTGCGGGTACACGTACTCCTTGTCTTCGAATCCGTCTTCGTACTTGAGCTTGCGCGCGCCACTGCTGCACACAAAATCTTTCCCGCCTATTTCGAGCCGCTTTGCCTCGGATTCCAGGCGTTCCTGCGCCACAAACACACCCTCTTCAACGGTTTGACGCGCATGGAGCACGTACAGCTCGGAGGATCTCATCGCTCAGACTATATCGCGACGGCGTGTACTCAAACTGGTTAAACAGACCGTTCTTCGTGACCATCTTAGGTGGCCCCCTGGCCGCGACGACATTGCGCCGATTCTCGTCCATGTTGTCTTGGCGAGCTTGGATGACTGCATTGGGGGCGAGCCGACTGGGCATCTTGACAATGGACGTGAAGTTACCCGTCGAAAACGCGCACTTGATGTGCTCGGCCTCCGAGTTGGCGTACTCCGGAAGGATGGAAGAGAAATTGGGGAGCATGTAGTGCGGCATCGACGCATGCTCTTCCACGGCGTCACCAGCTTGATTCATCCAGCCCTGAAAGTTGCCAACCACGTCCAGGAAGCTGCCACGTTGTATTTTTAGCCTTCAACACCATGGTACGTACAATTGTACTTTGTACTGGTCTTACAAATAACTCGTTTCACAACGGTACGTTGATTTCATGTACTGACCTACGTACATTGAAATAGAGGCCGCTGATTGGTCTGTGACGTTTCAATGTTTACCTCCCTTTTGTCACATGTGAATCACGGTGGCCTCAAAGAAACGATCGCCGAGGCGCCGACTATTGCCCAAAAAGACCGCGAGTGCCTCCTGCCACCAACCTCCTCGACGCTATGACGCTTACCCTCAAGGCGGCCAGCAAAGCATTCGCTGCTGTCATTCTCGCGCCCGTGGCCATTGCAGGGTTCGCGCTCTTCCTCGCAGTGTGGTTCGTCATGACGATCACGTTCGTTGGACCCCTTGTCCAGTACTGCTGTAACCAGCGGGACCGAAAGCTCCTTGACCGTTCACGTCTTTGCGAACGCGTCCCAGACTTACAGTTCATCCGAATTCCTCACGGCAACAATTGTGCGGGATTCGATCTCGCCGTGCGATTCACTCGATCGACCACGTCGACAACGCTTCCCCCCGTGTGTATTCCCAACGGTCTTGGCGCGTCCATGACAACCATCAGTCAGCTACATGAAGAACTTGTCAAACGTGGGCACACCGTTTTGTCGTATGATCGCCTTGGAGTTGGCTTGAGCGACCGGAACACGACGGGGGTGTCGCCCACCGCCGACGACGTGGTCAAGGACATGGAATTTGTTCTGTCGTCCGTGCTTCCTCCAACCACAAAATGGCTTGTCGTCGGACCTTCCATGGGCAGCATCGTTGGCCAGTATTTTGTCGCGACGTATCCGAATCGGGTGGTGGCATTTTTGAACATGGACGGGTTCCCGTATCCGTTCTGTCGCCGCCGCGCAAAATTTGTGTTGGCGGGACTCATCTACAAAGCGTACGCAGCTATTATTTGGACGGGGGTGATGCGGCCATTTATTTCGATGGGCATCCAGTCGTGGCGCAGTCGTCTCCAAAGTGCCGCGTTCTCTATCGATGTCGTGCGCGCTGAAACCAACCAGGCCAACTTTTTCCGAAACCTCGCCCACGAAATGATCACGATGATCGACCTGGCGGACAAGGTGAATGCGGCGTGGGGGAGCCAGAGTTGTCTCGAGCTGTCACCCGCCGACCTCCACACGCTCGCCCACACGAAGCCATCGGCAGTTGGGGATGTGCGCGACGATGGTGAGTGGGTCCCAATCGACGACAGCGCCATAACCGATCAACTCATCCCGAACTACGGGACGATTGAACCCGCCGAGACTGCGCAAGCAATTGCGAGTCTTCTTGCGCGACAACCCCAGTCGCAACTCGCCAAAACGTGGCAAACCCTGCATGTCGACGTCATGAGCGGACGCAACTTTGATTACGCTGGCGCGAGTATGTTTATCGACGATGAGATGAAGGACTGGTATGCTGCGGAACACACGATCCATGCGCTTTTGGCAGCTCGCGGCTGCCGCACTGTGTTCCCGACCAAGGCGCACTCGGATATGTTTGCCATGGTCCAGTGCATCGCAGATCACGTTGACAAGCTCTCCGGGGCCATCGACGTCTAGCCACAAGCATTGCGCTGGCCAAGCACTGCTGCCTGCAACGTTTCATCATTGCAATTATCGCCTTAAATCGTTTGGATTGGTTGATTATGTTTAGTTTTATCCAATTAACTGGCGCCACATCCGGATACTCCACCACGTCAAATCAGTACAGCCAAAGCAACATGGGCAACGACCAATCTTCCGCCGCGGCGCAGGCTGCAGATGCGCACGGGAGCGACCATGTTGGTTTCCGCGTCCTCGGTATCCAAGAGAACTCTCCTGCGTCCGTGGTGGGGTTCGTCTCGTTCTTTGACTTCATTCTCTCTGCCAACGGCATTCGTTTGGTACGTACCTGAGTTCACCCATCATCCCTCGGAGATTTGGGATCGGCTTGCTGCAGGACACCAAAGATTCGACGTTCATGGAGTTGATCGCCCGAAGTGAAGACAAACCCATGCAGTTGTCGGTGTACAACATAAAGTCGCAAACCACCCGGGGTACATTCTGTATACTCCACTCGTCGCTTCCAGCGACTCACGAACTTGTGTGCATTAGAACTGTCACTCACGCCATCGCGTAATTGGCCTGGTAAAGGCATGCTGGGAGTCACGATTCGGTTCGACTCGTTCGACGGTGTCGAGGATCACCTTCTCCACGTGTTGGTGCGGATTCCCTTTTGCATTCCTTCATGACGTGACACACACGTCGGCACGTGCTATGGCAGGAAGTGGCCAAAAAGTCCCCCGCGGATATAGCCACCCTCGAGCCGAACGCCGATTACCTCCTTGGCACCCCCGAGCGCGTGTTTCGAGGTTTGTGCATGGCCATTATGAACACGTTATGACTTCGTTTTGTTCTCTCAGACCCCGAAGACTTGTACGACGAAATTATCGATCATTTGGACCAGCCATTTCAGTGCTACGTGTACAAGTACGTTGCGATATATGTCGACAGCCTTGATCGAGTGGCATCTCAGTGCATGATGGATGCCAGTGCCCGAACGGATCAAGTGCGGCTCGTTCGCATCACTCCGCACGACCGATGGGGCGGAGAAGGATATTTAGGCGCCGAGGTCGGCCACGGGTACCTCCATAGGCTGCCGGCAAGCGTGCACTCTACGGTGGGCGAATCGGTCGGTTTTGTGAGCATTTCGAATCACGCGAAGGCGGCCACCGATTACTTTGGTATGTAACCTGCCACATCCCATGGGGTGCATTCACACTGCGTGGGTTTAGCCCCCCCTGCACCTCCAGCTGCTCCTGTTCCTTCTGCTGCACCTGAAACTACAGCGACCGAAGAAGTCGCACGCCCCACGTTATTCGCTGCAGGAGACGCCCCAACCATTCCCTCCACGGAAGAGCCACGTGCTACCACTGACATGTCCGCGCCATCGGAGGTTGGTCTGGAGGAAGCGCCAGCCGCTCGCGACGCACACACCATTGTCGAACCAACGCAAGAGGTTCAACCGCCCACTGCACCGAGAGTGGTCACGCCTCCCAAAAGCGCAGCCAAGCCAGCGTACCCCCCGCCCGTGGGTGGCGGGATCGGCTTTCCAATCTCGACAGTCGCCACCTACATCGACCCGACTTCTCCCAAAGCATCATCGTAAGGAAGGGCTCGACTCGTTGGATCTTATAGCTCCATCTTCCGCAACATGTCGAGAATGGACTCGGCCGTCTTCTTGTTCTGGGGCACTCCCACGCCGGCATAGTACATGTCAGCTAAATTTTTCCACGCAGCCATCGAGTGCCGGTCCGCCGCCGCCTGGTAGTACTGGAACGCTTGTTCGTACAGTCGATTAGCATATGCCAACGCCCCCAGGGTACACAGGGCCTCCGGGTGGCCCAACGCGGCAGCACGCTCGTATAGCTTGTGCGCTCGTGGGATATTCACCGACACCAGCGGGGGCTGCCCTTCCCGGTACATGTCTGCCAGGCACACCATGGCGTCCCCTTCATCCTGGTCAACAGCTAAGTGCAGGTACTTTAAAGCCGTTTCCAGATGGATAGGGATGCCCATGCTGTCATCGCCATTCAAATGGAGCTGCGCGAGGTAATACAGCGCGCCGCCGTGGCCCTGGCCCGCCGCTTGCTCGATCAACATGCGGCTGCTCACGGGGTTGGCGGGAACGCATTCGTTCCCGACGTGGAGGACATGTCCCATGAAGTACTGGGCGCTGGGGTCGCCAATTTCTGCTGCTTTCATGAAGCAGTCCATGGCGAGAGGAAGGTTGGCCACGGTCGGGGTTGGCACTGCCGTCGGGTGGTCCTACGCAGGCCAGTCGTCTTGTGGTTACAATAATGTTGATGTGGTTAGAGAGATCGCACATCGTAGAGCATCATGCCGAGGTTGTACAAGGCGTCCGGGTGGGGTTTGTCGCAGAAGGCCACGACAGAGTACCATGCCCTTGCCGCGTGGACTAGCGGAGGGTCGTGTGCCATGCACAAGTTGCCCATACGAACATAAGCGTCACGGTGGCTGCGCAAAGAGCATGAGCTAGAGACTCTTTTTGAAAGAACACACCCGTTGTCAGCGGCCCGGCGCAACCACGCAATGCCTTTGGCTTCATCACGACCACCGATTGCTTCCATGATGGATGCTTCGTTGACTTCAGCAGAATTTGACAATGTTAATGGAGGCACAGGTCGTGAGTTGTCCAAGAGCGGCTGTGTGATGCTGCCATACGCATCGTCCAAGTCGGCCGAGGTCGTACGAGCGACCAAAGGGGACTTGGGCGCAGCAGTTGGCTGCTTCGACTTCCTGTACTCTTTGTACAGCTTTCGGGCGTGCTTTCGAATGCTCTTGATGTCTTGCAAATTCGATGAAGAGGCGCTGGCTCGCTGCCGTAATGTCTCGGCATCCAGCGACCACTCGTCGTCCACATCTACTTCGGCATCGTCGTCATCTTCCAGGAACATCAACGCAAGCTCATACTGCGCCGACGCATCCTGGGCTTGTGCGCGTACGTACAAGTCGTTTACATTGTTCCACAGATCCACCGACGTTTCTTTAGGGTTGGATTCGATGGGAGGCGTCGTCGACGACGTGGCAAAGCTCGCGAGTTGGAATTGCGTCACGACGCGAGAAGAAAACAACGTGCGCTGTTTCCTCGACAACAACAGTGACGATGCATGCATGTATCGCGCTCGGGAAGCAGCGGAAGTGACTGCAATGCGACGCCAGGTCCGCGTGACATGCGAGAGAAAGCGGGTCATGTTGATCAATGACGTCCAATTCAGCAACGATGATAAGACCACGTTGATTGGACATAAACGAAGAGTAGTAACTATTCTGATTGGTCAATACTGTTTGTTATAACCAATCATTTTCAAGGGATTGGTTTTTCTCATCGACTTCAGAAATCGCAGCCGAGCCGTCCGCCGTCTGCGCCGCCGCTCGTCTCTCCGTCACAACATGGGCAATATCTTCTCTCCAGTCGACAGCATCAATTACAACTTTGTCTCGGGGGTGTATGGCTTGTGTACGGTCATCTTTCTCGGGCTCCTCGTGATCCAACGCTACACCGACGCCGTCGAGGGGTTCTACATTGTGTTTGCACCGTTTGTTCCGTGCTTGCTGTGGAGCCTCGTCGTGCGCCGCAACTGGCTGGCCAAAGAAGCGCTCGCCGTGGAGTCCAAGAAGACAGAGTAGGAACCACCATGTTTGTTCATGAATGGAATTTTTAGAAGAAGTTCCGTGACGTGAACCGAGGCAACTTGCGCGTCTTTTGCCGCTTTTGATTCACAAACTGCATCGCTTGCCGACGACGATACGCCGACTGAATGCGCAGGACACACCGAAACGCCACGCTCTTGTCTGCCGCCACAATATTCTTGGACGCCGGTCGCATGTACGCCAGCTTGAACCGCTGGAAGCTATAGTAGAATCGTGAACTTGTCGTCGCGTCCACACACTCGATCCACTCGTTGTCCTTGTCCAAGTCAATGTCCATTTGGACTCGCCTTGCTTCGACGTCTGCGCGGAGTATGGGGTCCCCCATCAGCATCTCCATCATGAGCGCTTCAATCGTGCGGGGCACGACAATGTTTGCTCCGTCAAAGTCACTACCATCACCGTCAGTGGTTCGTCATGCACCGTGCGAAGGAATTCGATGTCGTACAGTGGTTTGTCCAGCGCGAGGGTCTTGAGGTGTCGGTTGTAGTAGATCGGGACGTGTTCGTCCGTAAGCGTTGAGAACCACACGTTCTCCTTGGGCGTGCGCTTTGGCGGCGCCGTGACGGTCGTGACGTATCCATGGAGCGGGAAGGAAGAGATGCAGTGGGTCTTCATGTTCAAGTACGCCACGGCAGCCGCGACCCAGTTACGCAAGCAGAGGTAAGCAGGCATGCGCTGCCACGACGGATCATCGTCGGGAACGGCATACGTCGATGGAAGATGGAGAGTCTGAATGGTTCGAAGGTGGGCCGTGCATAGCTCGTACGGCTTGGTGAATAGTCCCACCGGTTCGTTTGATGCGAGCCATTCCCACCCGCCTATGTGGGTGTCGATGTTCTTGACAATCCACGCGGCCCACACCCCTGACCACACCACTGACGGAGGCGCATTGCCAGCATCAAGGTTGAACAGTAGAAGCACGCACTGCACCGTCGCAAGAACGGCCGGGGAAGGGAGGAAGTCCCAACCTAGTGGCTCGAGAAAGTCCGACTTGCCCAGTTCTTGCAACGTTATCGTGCACTCGTCCAACGCCGACACTGTGCCATTTTGAGAGTGGTGCGAACGGAGTGCAAGCATACCGATGACTAGCACTTCCACTTGACCAAACGAGGGGTCGCAGTACGGTCGCTTTGCGGCCTCTTCCTGATACCGACACAATGCTGTCGTTAGCACTGGCTCCTCAAACATACTTCGCTATTTGGACCCGCCATGCGAGTGGACTGACCTGCTTTAATATCAAATGACTCTCTGCGTCGGGTACACCACGGTGGGCGTGTTGCTGCTTTAAACTGGCCAAGTACTCCGCGAGAAGCTTGTTCATTCTTCTGGAGCACGCCCTCGCGCGCACACCTCCACGCCCTATAAATAGGCCATGCTATCCGAGAAGTCAAAAGCTTGGTATTCCGCTATCTAGCGGAAAAATGTCTTCCTCTCGTTAGTTTCGCGCTATCTGACCGCCAAGACATGCATGTCGGCATTGCATGCAAGTGATTCCTTCCATGCATGTCACTTCCGCGGTTGCGCGGCGATTCCACGGGGAGACATCTTTTTATCCGTAGGAATTCAAATTATCCGTAGTCTGGAACCACAGGCGAGAGATTCAAGATGACGGCGCCACCGTCGACGCCGTCGCAACTAGAAGGCTTGAGCGGTGCGGACGAAAAGCAGCACCGGTTCTTCGCATGCGAGTTAATCCAAGAGTCGGGCATCTTGCTTCAGCTACCACAAGTCGTCTTGGCGACTGCCCAGTCGCTCCTGCATCGGTTCTACGCGCGACAGAGTTTGTTCGATTTTGACGCTTTCCGAGCCGCGATGGGGTGCATCTTCCTGGCGAGCAAGGCCGAAGAACATCCTCGTCGGATCAAAGACGTTGTACAAGTGTTCTTTCGCATGCGCAACCGACGTATGGACCTCGGACTCACACCGATGTTGCCGTCGGATCCTCGCTTCGCTACTTGGAGCGACTGGCTCGTCATGGTCGAGAGACAGGTGCTAATCGAAGTTGGGTTCTCCATTGACGGTACCACCGAACACCCTCACAAGTTTCTGCTCTACTACGTCAAACTTCTTGAGTGCTCCGACGCTTGTGCGCAGAAGGCATGGAACTACGTCAACGACAGCTTTCGAATCGACCTGTGCTTGCGATATGACGCCCATGTCATCGCATGCGCTGCCATCAGTCTTGCCGCACGTGTGCTGCAGCATGCTCTTCCCCTTGGATGGGAGGTGTTGCTTGAGGTCGACATGGCGGACGTTTTGTCCGTGGCGCAGGAAATGCTTGCGTTGTACCAACTACGTCGAGTTCAATGGCTCCAGCCTTTGACAGCAGTTGACCCATTCGAGGTCACAAAAGATGACGAACTCGCCACCATTGCTGTGGATGCTGCACCTGCTGCTGAACATCCTCAAGCAGAAAACCCAGCCATATCGTCGTCAATGTCTCCGGTTGCACCAGCGCTCGAGGCCCTCGAGACACAACCCTCCCGATCTCCCGATGTACACGACCGCAAGCCCACCAATCGTTCTCGATCACGGTCTCCACACAGTCCTGACAGGCCCAAGCGACGTCGCAGTCGTCGAAGCTCAAGCAGGGACCGCAAACGGCGAAGTCGAAGCAGGAGCCAACAGCGGGGCCACCGCCGAAGCGAGTCCAGAAACCATCGTGAACGCCGCCGAAGTCGCAGCCTCGAGTACCGACGCTCCGACCACCCCCGCCAGTATCGTCGCTATTAAATCGAGGAGTATGCCGCATGCGAGCACTGGGAGCAACAATCCCCCACTCAGTCGGTTGCATGGCAGAAGGTAAACAACTGTGATGCGAATAAATTATCGGGCTAGACTTAGACGCGTGCGTCTAGAACGTGCTTCGGTACTTTGATCGTTGGAACGACGCTTTGAAGGGATCCAGCACCTTTTGGAACATGGAGAGCTTTCGCCGCATGATCGGATGGGTGGGCGATGTCGGCTCGGACGTTGCTGACGAAACGTCGCTGTGGCGTTGGTTGGAGTGACCGACTGCCGCAACCACATCCTTGATGGTGGCACGCGTCGACGGGTGAATTTGAAGCATGGCGTCAAGCAAATCGAAGACGTCGTCTGGGATCAATTGATTCACGCTCAAGTGGTCGCACAGCGCGGCGAGACCGCGTTGCTTGAACAGTTCGAAATGATCGTCCAACACGCGAGCTTGTCGGAATGGCGCCACCCCCGTGACCATGATGAAAAGCAGGATGCCGAGCGACCACACATCTGTCTGGCTGGCGTCGTAGCCCCTGCCGTCGTATAACTCTGGCGCCATGTAAAAGTACTTGCCGACGACGGCCGTTTGTTTGACCGAGGCGTCGGCGGCGTGGCCAAAATCACACAGCTTGCACGTGTTGGTTTCGTCGACGAGGATGTTTTCGAGCGACAGGTCGCAGTGCGCATAGCCAAGGGACCGCAGGAAGACCAGGCCGTCCGCGATTTGACCCACATACATCAAACCCGTCGCCACGTCAAAGCGTTTGTCCGTTGTGGCTTTGAGGACGTCGAAGAGGGAGCCACGGGCACAGTGGTCCGTCACGAGATGCTCGACGCCTTGCATTTGGAAGCTGTCTCGAAGGCGGAGGATGTTCGTATGACCACCAACTTTCTTGACATGTTTATGTATCCTGCGTTCCATGGCAACGTGTTCGTCGACGCGGCATGTTGCTTTGTCCGCGACGATCTCGAGTCGCTTGATCGCGACAACTTCTGCGGTCTGTCTGTCGGTGGCGAGGACTATGTTCGGGAGGAGCTCGGGGGCGTCGTCGATTTCTGGGGCCGACGGCTCCAGGATGGTATAGCGTTCCATCGTCGTTGCAGCGGAATCGAGAATGGTCTCGGCGTCTCTGCCTCCCCACCATGTTGAAGTTGCGACTGCGGAGAATTTTGTCGCGGCTGCGTCATCGTGGGAGCGATTTTCAGCGGCGAAAGCATGGACCAATCAGCGGGCGCCAAATTCTTTACCTTGGCATTTGTATGGTGCCTCCAAGCAGCAAGATCACAGAACGTGAGCGCAATTCCATCACGTGTTGTGAAAACCCGAGCCGTGGTGGCTTGTTTTGGTCGCCCAGAGTGAATACCGCCTGTGACTACCGAATGTGCCATCGCAGGCAAGCGAGATGACCAGCCAGCCCTGTAGCCCTGGCTCGGAAATATTTGGCGTCTGTGTCGGCGAGAATCGTGCTAGTCGAAAACTGTGCCTTGGGGTCCATGACATGGAGGCGAGATCGCCAGGACTCAGGTCTCGCGGACGAAGTAGCTGGGGATTCTGTGGACGCCAAGCGTCGCGGTAACTTCAACTCGCCAAGAGGCACCGCGAGATGTATTCGCCACCCACCGATATCTCTGGAAGGAACGCATATGCGCTTGGACATGCACCGCCTCTCGTTCGACGCCACACTGATGAGCACTACGGACGAGAAAGACAGACTTGAGCAAGCACTCGTGCATTCAGAGGGATGCTGGTTGGCTCGCACACGAGGGGAAGCGGCCGTCGACCATGTGGCGTTCGCATCGATTCCACATGTTGACTTGCTTCTCCCATCCACAAGGTTCGACGGCGGTGACAACCTTCCATGCACATCTCTCTCCCCCAAGGTCGAACGAGCAGCAGCCTCGACGTACAGTACATATCCTGGACTACATGGGGAGCCATGTCTGCTCGACAAAAACTACCATGGGACCCCGCCAGAATGAAATGTCCATTGGTATCGTCGACTACGATGCCAATGGATATTGCATTCTACTGTAGTGGGAAGGCCACTAGCAAGCGACGTCCATGCCCAAAGTGACGCCGACGCCGCCCAACGCAAGCAGCAGACATCAACCCCAACGATCCATTCGGCATGTTGGGCTTCATGGCAAGAGTAGTCGAATCGAAAGCGGTTTAGCCGTTTCTGTCTTCTTCCGCACCACCAACGCTTCTTCAATCGTCGATGGATTCCACATGTGCTGACCGTGATTGCCCGGACAACAGGACAGGATTGATCGGCTCGAGTGTTGTACATCTGTCGCCGAGACAGGACTTCCACGATGGCAAACGTAGCCAGCACGAAGTTCGCCCCAAACTCTAGCCACGGGGGGCCATGGGGTAGCTGGCACCATCGCGAGTTTTGTCTGTGTATATACGATGACTTCATGGAGCGGACGCCACCAAGAGACGTCGCCGCCGCCTTCAACCTCTCAATCCTTCACGCACAGTCCGTTGTTTGGCAATGGACGGCTCTTGAGGTGAGTTCGTTGGCACATAGTCGACCGTCCGACATTGCTCAAACTTACCAGCTTGGTGGCTTGCAGGGAGCCACCCTTTCTTTAGCGGAACCTGCGAGCGGATTTGACAGCGCTGGCGGAATGGAGCTGCTTTCGACATCACCAGCGTCGAGTAACATAGAACGAATGGGAGTAGTCCGTGTAGAACAGAGAGATGCGCTCTCCCCCTGCAGAGTCATGTCACCTCGCTCACGACGCCACCTCCAGTCTCCTGTGTCGTCTATTGCAGCTGCAGGCGTCCAAGGGTAGCGTTCAACTCTGCAGACAGCAAAGACATTTCGTTGTGCCATCGCATGCAAATCACAACACGTTCACTATGGCTAGGCATGGCCTACAACAGCGGCTGGTAGCCTCCGCGTTGCTTTTTCTTGAACAAGACGAATGCAACAGCCACGGCGAGCATCATGGCGAGCGCCCCCACGCCGTATGCTTCGGTCGACGTGCTATGGCCCAGGCGAGCCGTCATAGCAGACGAGTCCACAATTGGAACGTCGGCGGTGCTGCCAATCGGGGGCCATGAAAACCATCCAATGTGTTGCACGACATGCACAGCCACACCTTCTTGCAACGCCGAAGGCTCCGGAGCCACTTCGAATGTCTTGTACTTGTTCTCCGTGACTGCGACCACTGCGGGAGCTTTGGGAGTGAAGAACCACTGGCGCTTCTTCTCTTTGGGCAAATGCGCGGGCGTGATGTTGAAGTAGTTGATGCGACCAGACCCAAACCCGGAGCGGGAGAGTGTGTTCACAGTCTGCACGTAGGCCGAGCCCGACCCAAGCACATCGACCTTGGTATTGTTGCATGCCAAAGACGCCGTGTACGCGCTACCAGAGCCAAGAATCGTGATCTTGCTGTTGCCGCAGTGACCACTGGGGTAGTAGTTCACTGACCCCGACCCGAGGACTTCACTTTGCAACACCGTCGCATCCACGGTGCCATGAACATACGCCGAACCCGAGCCCAACACCGACGTCTTCAATGCACCGGCCGTGACAGACGCCGTTTGAACGCCGATCGCACCACCGCCGAGAACAGTCAATTTGGCGCGCTTGGTGGCAATCACTGCAGGGGCCGTCAAGAACACGGACCCGCGACCTCCCGCCGTCAGTTCAAGCTTGGACACAGTGACGGCATTCACAGAGTCCACCCAAACGTTATGACTGCCAAGCGATGTCACCCCAACACTGGAGAGCGTGTCTTGGAGGGACAGCGCGCCGTTTTGCACAATGGTTTCGGCAGTGGTGGTCAAGTCCGCAATCGGACGGTTGAACGTCACTTGGACAAGCAGCGACGCCGTGATATCCACATCACGTTGAGCAAGGGAGAGCTTGAGTTGTTGATCCGACCCCGTCATGTGAATGCCACGTTCGTCGATGCCGATGTCGATCTTTCCAGCGGGAACAATGTCGGTTTGGATCAAGTCGGCCAAGTCGTTGGACGACGTTGTCACGACGACAGTGGCCGTTTGGTTGAGAGAAGGGTCGTAGGATACGATCAGGCGGCCAGGAAGGGCCGAGGTGAGACCAATGAGAGTGCCATTGCCACTCGCCCACGACCGGACCGTGATGTTGGGAGCTGTGATGGTGTCCGACATGCTGGTTGGCATGCAAAGTCGATTGTGACAGTTCGGCGGCAGCCCGCGGCAAACAAGAATGCATGTAAAATCAAGAATGTTATCGAAATGCTTGTTTGATTAGTACACGGCATGAGTGTATGTCAGAGTGTATGTAGGTGCCATCAGGTCCGTCGTCGACCGCAGCAGAGCATGAATGGGTTTGCGCTGGTCGGCTGGACAAGATGTGAGAGACTTTGCAGGAAACAATCAACGTGCTCCCAAACCTACACGCCTTGATCGTATGCCGTGCCAAGCAGTCAAACATATACCGTGACCCACAGCGACTGCTCAGCCCCTAGAACGAAACCCGACTTGTTTCGCTCGGCCCTGGAGGTTCGAGGAAAGATTGGGCGGTGGGTTCAATGAATGATCTTTGTGGGTACGTGTTGGAGGAGTGGGCAATGCGGTTGTTGGCGGCAGCCACGATTCGCCGTAGGTTGGATGCTTGGATGACACCGGTCGTCATGTGTTGGTTGAATTTGTCGCACTCGAGTGCCGCACTTTCAGTGCCGTTTTATCCGTACAACGCTGAACTCGACCAAGAGACAATGCGCTTCTACTTCACTTTCCAATCTACTGAAGGGACGCGTACCCCAGACGCTGACGCTTCTTGAACACGACAAACGCCACCATGGCCAACAGGACGATGGCCAGAGCGCCAACGCCGAGGTTACATGTCGAAGTGGAGCTTCCCATCCGAGTTGCCAAGGCAGACGATCCGACCGGCGCGCTCGTTTCGCTCGTGGGCCAAGGAAACCAACCCGTTTGCTGTACAATGTGAAATTCCACGCCTTCTTTCAACGTAGTCGGCTCAGGGGCAACGTCGAAAGTGATGTACACGTTGTCGGCGGTAGGGACGACTTGAGCGGGGGTGGGAGTGAACCACTGGTACTTCTTCGCCTTTGGCAAGTGCGCGGGGGTCACGTTGTAGTACTTGACGCTCCCACTGCCGTAGCCAGAGCGAGCAAGCGTGTCAATAGCTTGCACATAGGCCGAACCGGACCCCGCAAGGCTGACTTTGGTTTCGAAGCACGCCACGGACGCCACATACGCATTGCCGGAACCGAGGATCGTGACCTTGCTGTCATTGCAATGGCCAACGGGGTAGTAGTTGATGGAGCCAGACCCCACGACTTCACTCTGGAGCTCCGACGTGACCACGGTGCCGTTTACAAACACCGATCCCTGGCCTAAAACAGACGTCTTGAGCTCTTCGGACAGCACAGACGGTGCTTGAAGGATGACGGAGCCACCGTCGAGAGCAGAGAGCTTGATGCGTTTGATGGCGCTCACGGATGGCGCAGCGACGGACACATTTCCCGAACCCCCCGACGAAATGTCGAGTTTGGATACGGAGATCGGGTTCAAAGCATTCACCCACACGTTGCCACTGCCAAGCGACGTCACGACGACGTTGGCTGCATTGTTTTGGAGTGACAACGAGCCATCGTGCACGATGGTTTCGGAAGACGTCGTCAAGAACGCAATCGGCGAGTGGAGAGTGACTTCAACCAAGAGCGATGCGTGATGTCGACGTCACGTTGGGTCAAGGACAGTTTGAGCTGCTGTTGCGAGCCCATCGCGTGGATGCCTCGCTCGTCGACTCGAAAGCTAGTCTTGCCGCTGGGGACAACCTCGGCTTGAATGAGATCGGCAAGCTCTGGCGCGGACGTGGTCAAGGTAACGACGGCCGTTTGATTGAGGTTGGGGTCAAATGACACAACGAGGCGCCCGGGAAGGAGCGAGTGAAGGCCGGAGAGGGTGGCGTTGCCCGCGTTCCATGAGCGGACAATTGTGCTGGGGGCCACGATCGTTTCCGACATGTTTGGCGATGTGGATAGCTCAAAACCGTCTTTGACGCACTTCCAGGTATGTCATGCTGATGACATCCGAGACATTTCAGCTTGTGACATTTCTTCTGATTCGGCAATGCACCAATCAAAACATCCATCTCCAACCTATTGACCAATAAAATTCGATGAAGTCAAATGGCGTCGCTGATTGGACAGTGCCACATCACACACACCAAAAACACGCAAGATTTGTCTGCGCCTCCGGCCGCTCTGGACGTGGGGAGCTTCAACTGCCTCGAATGAACGAGAAAGAGCCTCACGTCGGCCATCTCTTGGGCGGCGCACACGAGGTGGATGCAAATATACAAGCGCGGTCGAGCAGATTCTCGGGAGTTGAAGGCGTGGGAGGTTTGCCCATTTTCGTGGGCAAATGGAACGTCACCATAGGTGGAGAGGGTGGATGATGTGTCATGAGGCTAGCCTGTCAACGAGAGAGTGGTGACGAAAAGCAAGATCAAATTAGCATCGTCGCTCGCTAATTCCTCCCGACGAATGTGATAATGTATAATGTGACACCTGCAACAGCGGCCGCTGAAGCAGTCGTATTTTTCAAATGTTGGACCAGCCATTCTATGAACATATGAATTTTTCTTTATTGCACGAGCTCGTAGCCGCCTCGCCGGATCCGCTTGGTGACCACGACTAGTATGCCCACCACGACCAACACAAAGATGCCCACAATGCCGAGTGTTTCAATACTTGAAGTGGCATCCATGAGAGGCGACAGCTTCACGTCCATTAGAATGGGTGGCCACCGCAGCGTTGCGGACGAGAGCCGAACCAGCACGAACGACCCTTCGTGCCACGGCGGTTGGGGTACCACCTTAGCAATCTCGTACTTGTTGGTGGTTGTGGCAGCGACGGTGGGCTGCCGCACGAACGGAAATGACTGACCACCGGAATTCTCGGGTAAGTGCTTGGGCGTTCCGTTGAAGTAATTGATCGAGCCCGACCCGAATCCGGAGCGGACCAGAGTGCCCGCGACCTGGACATACGCGTCGCCGTTCCCGACCGTGTTGACGCTGGCCGTGACGCAAGCCACAGACCCCAAGTACGCGTTTCCAGACCCGACAATGCTAATCTTGCTGTCGTTGCACGACCCAAATGGAAAGTAATTGACTGAGCCCATGCCGAGGAGGTCGCTGATCAGGTGCGACGCCTGTACGTCGCCCTGCAGAAACACGGACCCGCGTCCCGGCACTTCGGACTTGATCGTGTTGGCATAGATTGATTTCGATTGCAGCGACACGGATCCCTGGGCGAATATCGTGACCTTCAAATTGCGCTCGACATGAATCGACGGAGCACTGAAGTAGACATCGCCGGCGCCGCTGGTTGTGATGGACAGGCCAGGTGCAGCCACGGGTAATGACGACTCGATCCAAACGGCGGCATTGCTGTACGACGTGATATACATGGGGTTCGTCGACGTCGGTGCCACTGCCAGCGCACCAGACTCCACCAGTGTTTCTGCGACCGTGGAGAACGTGTGCACGGGATGGCCTAGGGTGACATGGACAAGGAGGGTGCCCTCGGTGTCAACGTCGCTCGTGGCCAAACGAAGCGTGAGTTGATTGATGTCGTCTGCTGTAATGGCGATGTCCGCCTGGACGAGTGACAGAAGGGCCGGTGTTGTCGAGGTGACGGTCACGACCGTGGTCGTCGTGGTCGCTGTGGCATTCCCTGAGCACGAGACAACGACGCGTCCAGGAAGATTGATGCTGAGGGCACCCAAGTGGCTTGTCGTGGAAGACCAGCTCCGTACGTGCATCCCCGGCACGACGATTGTACCATCGTCGCTGATGCCTCTCATCATGGGTTGCGAATTGCCCGTGTGGTCCAGTTTGGCGTTTTTCATGATTTGCCACATCGTAACTTGTTTAACCACAAGGTTTTATTTCAGCCAATAGTCCACACCAAAACAGTGCATGTGCAACACAGCTTCGTCCTCCGAGGGCCATCGCGTTGGAGTTTCGCACAATCGCATCACACACGTAGGCACTGAGTGCTGGTCACGCGCAGCTTCAGCAAGTTGTACATTGTCGTTTCACGATCGAAAACACAACCTGTCGAGCCTCGGGCACGTACGTACTATTGAATATAACGTGATCGCGTTAAATCCGTTTTAAGTGAACCGTCACGTCAGATGGGGTTAAAAACAAACGCGAAGATTCGGTCGGGCCCGGCAGGATGATCGCAGCCAATTCGTGGTACATACCGATCGCGCTCGGCAACTACGCGCACGGGACGGGGCTACGTTGCCACGCGTGCGGAGAACCGATATCCTTGACTCTATCGTGCGATGGCTTGTTCTTGTTTAACGGCAAAAGCGTCGAACACGCCCTAATGTCCTTCACAGTATCGACGCCGCAATGTTCCAGTCGAGTCCTCAATAACAGACGTGGCTGTGGCCAACTCGTCGGGCTCGCGCAAACTTGGCTTCCTTTAGGGAGACAAGTACACTCCACGCGCGACCACTCGTCCTGAGATGGGTGGCGAATGCGGAGCGCACCTGTCAGTCGGTGGGCTCAAAGCCATCGGACCAACTTCCGCCGACCACTACATCATGCAGCCGAGGAAATTTACTCAAGGGACAGCGCGCAGGTGTGCCAACCTCACCGAGAGCATCCGATGTGTGCGTTATTTTCCCGGTCCTCACAGCCAAGGGCACTGAATTCACGGCATGTTTGTGGGTGTGTTCCTTTTCAACATCGCGTCGTCCAGTATGCCCAGATGTACAGTATACTATCACCTGTCCAAGCACCCTACAGTATGCGCCAATTGACTGGGCCGTCGGCCGCGGTGTGGTGGCCCATTGTCGCATCCGCCGCCCCACCGCACGATGTCAGTTGCTGCTCCCAACACCATCACCAAGACGTGGAACACGACGACGCCGATTGAAGGCATGCTCCTCCAATTCCCTGGTCGTGTCTTCATCAACCAGAATCCGTCCCTGAAAGCCGCCGCTCGCGTCGTTGTGACGTCCAACTCGCAGGCGGTGGTGGACCTGTTTGGTTTCAACGCGACGCGGGCTGTTGGCGACAGCATCAACGTCGGGTGCAACCAGCGGTTCGCCATCAACAGTGCGAACCAAACGTACTTGGACGTGTCGGTCACGACTGGCGTGGATGTCCACGCGGCAGGGTCGCTTCTAGTACTTGTGACGGTGCAAAAGCCGCTTTCGTGGGTAAAATCCACCGCCGACACCGTCGTGGTCAGCGGTGCTCTGGTCAACGGAGTCACCAAGGTCGTGTCTCTCACTGCGTTGGGCGCAGGCAACATCACGACGACGGCCAAGTACCCCGTGACTTTGTCCAACCTCACGTTGGCGGCTACTGGCACCGGCAAGGTCCACTACTCGGCATCCACGACCTTCAACACAACGTCGGGCGTGTCGTTGGTGATTTCTGGCCCCGGCATCGTCGCCCTTGACTCGTACCGCACGCTGACGATCCCGAACCTCCGCACCACCGTGACTGGCAGCGGCTCGGTCTACGTCACGACAAACGGCACCCTGACCGCCCAAGATATCCGAACGTACTTGTTTGGGAACGGCAACGTCAGCTATTACCCGAGCCAAGGCACGACCGTGAACAACACGGTCAACTTGTTCAAATCTGGTCATGTGTACACTGGTTCCATCCTCTCTCAAAACGCGACGGTTGCCGTGTCGGGGGCTGGCGGAGTTGTTGTGCAAGTGAACGATACGTTGGCAACGTCTATCAACGGCGCAGGAGTTGTTTCGTACTTCAATAAGACGGTGAACCCGGCGCACTTGCCCAAGCCCAAGGGGTGGTGGGTGTTCAGCAGCCCGAGTGCTGTTGCCACGAGCGACAACACGTTCAGTGTGATCAAGGACACCCCCGAGCCGACCAAAGTCGCGTTGAACGTCACGATTGACCTCTACAGGTCGTGGACGAGCCGCTGCTTCACTCAACGCTTCCAAACAAGTGCCGAGACCACGTCCCTGTCGAGTTTGTTTTCTCCCACTGAAGACGTCGAATCGATGGCCGCGGTGGCCTTTGCCCTCGTTGCTTTGGTCGTCCTTGCGATTTTCAAAGCCAAGAAGCGCACTGGGTACACTGCGTTGCCCAAGTAGAGCCGTCGTCTTGACCAGTCTAACAACCTCTATCTGTCCTTTTCTACTGCAAGCGGTTTGCAAGTTGGGAACACTTTGCTGCGGCATCGGACGAGGCCGCATCGCCGCCGCATGTGCCATCACAATTGTGGTCCAATTTGATTGGCAGGATGACCACCCAATCCACCAATCCGAACGGTCTCACGGATTCTTTAACCAATCAGATTGCATCCAAGGTATCTTGGTAATGAGAATCAACGTTGGAATAAAACGCGTTTCCCACAACGCGCAGCCGGTTGTACCGAGACGACGTAAGTGGCTGAGCGCAGCAGTGTCCGCGACGGCATTGCACGGCGCTTCGTCGCGATCTCATCCTGCCGCCTAGAGTTATGGTGGGCGGCCGTTGACCGGTTCAGGTTGCATGGCAGGTCACGCTTCATTGTGAGATCGAGAAGGTCGTCCACGTACACCTACCCTCGGTCCCATATCACCATTGATGTGGGTTAAACCATCGACGCGACCAGCAACCCACATTGAAACTTTTCGACCCACACCCAAGCATGGCCACCATCGTGAGCGCCGCGAACACGTTTACCAAGGCATGGAACACAACGACGTCGTCGCTGGAAGGAATCCTTCTTCAGTTCCCTGGGCGTGTGTTTGTCAACCAAGACCCGGCCCTCAAGGCCACCGTCCGCGTCGTCGCCACGTCCGACTCGCAGGCCGTCCTCGATCTGCTCGCGTTCAACGTGACCCAGACTCCCGACGACGTCATCACGGTCGGCTGTAATCGCCACGTTGTCCTTCCCCAAGCCAACCAAACGTACTTGAACGTGTCGGCAACGTCCGATTCGGCAGCGTACGCCGCTGGTTCTCTTTTGGTTCGCGTCACGGTGCAACGAGCCGTCTCATGGATCAAGTCGACCGCCGACACGGTGTTGGTTTCTGGAACGCTCGTCAACGGCGCCAACAAGCTCGTGTCCATTGCTGCATTGGGCGCGGGGAGCATCACCACGACGGCGAAATACCCGGTGAAACTCGCGAATTTGACGCTCTCCACCACGGGTGCCGGCAACGTGCAGTTTGCAGCCACCACGAGCGTGAATGTCACGAACGGCGTATCTCTTTCGGTTGCTGGACTTGGGTCGGTGGCGCTCAAGGCCAACAGCGACATCACCGTGCGCAACTTGCTCACGTCGATCACCGGTGCTGGCTCGGTCTTTGCGTCGGCCAATGGGGTGTTGAAGGCCCACGACGTCCGCACGACGGTGGCTGGCAAGGGGAATGTAAGCTACGCCGCGTCGCAAGGCTCGACCGTGACCAACACGATTTCGTCGGCGAGCTCGGGCCACATCTACACTGGGTCCCTTCTTGCTCAAAACGCGACCGTGACGCTGGCGGGGAGTGGAGACATCGTCGTCCAAGTGAACGATACGCTCACGGCGACCACGAGTGGCAAAGGCCAAGTCTTGTACTACAACAAGACTGTGAACCCGGCGCACTTGCCCCAACCCAAGGGGTGGTGGGTGTTCACCAGCCCTGGTGCGGCCGCGACCAGCGTCAACCCTGTCGACACGTTGACGTTGTGGCCAGAGCCCGCCAAGGAGCCTGTCAACGTCGTGATTGAGCTCAACTCGTCGCTGCTCTCGCGATGCGTCGTGCAAACGTTCAAGTCAGGCGGGCAACTGTCCCTCTCGGCGTCGTCAGCACAGACCCCCGTCGACGCGGCCACGTTTGGCGGTGTGGCGTTTGCCTTGCTGGTGCTGATCGCGTTTGTGGTCCTGAAGAAGCAAAAGCGCATTGGCTACGTCGCACTTCCCAAGTAAACACGACGGAATGATCATTACCAAACGCTTCGTGATATGCGACGTTGTTCGGTTGTGTTTGCATGTGCCGCCGACCAGTGGCCATGGAGAGGCTGCATGTGCACGTACCATTTCCATGGTTCATGTGAGGTTGTCGACAGCCTTGCCGAGGGATCAGGGCTGTGATGAGTACGATTTCAAAGCAGTAGAGGAGGCTGCCACGAGAGCTACTGGACCAAACGGAAGGATATGGACCTGACATGCCAAGGCATGTGGCCGATCACATTTCATGCTCACACACCATCCCATGACGTCAACTTGTTTCAAAGTCGCCTTCGCGACTTGATGGAGTTGTCGACGATGGCGCTTGTGCTGCCATCTTGCTTCGTCGGCTACCGCGGATACATCCACGTCGAGGTGCATCTGATCAAATCGCCAAAGGTTTGGGTGCAGGTGGGTACAAGAAGGCTCGACAACTCAACGTCACCCTGAAAAGCTGCCCGTGCGCCGTCTGGTGCCCTGCCGCTCCGAGACCTCCATCACCCAAGGGGTCAACTTTCTGTGGTGCTCTTGTGAAGAGGACAATCAGCGTCCTTGCACCAGATAATTTCCTCCCCCGTGAGGTCTCGCTCCAAGTGCATGTGGATGGCAATCAAGAGTCGGGAGTACCGACTCAAGTGCTTGGGAACTACGGCTGGCACTTATTTGAGCGATGGAATGCATCCAGACATGGCGAAGAAGCCACAACGATGTCGCAAAAGGCCCTAGTGGCCCCCAAGTTGTATCGTTTTGCTGCTTTGTCCGTCGTCGAGGAGCGTCGGAGCGACGTCGCCATCTCCTCGTCGACCACTGTGGCATCGCTCGCCAAAACAGTTGACCCACGCAGGCTGTCGTGACTCGCTGGCAACCCGAGTGGCCCAGGGCACGCGCCGCGCACCTCCCTTCCTCGAACATATGATCTCTTTCCCACTCTCATTGCCTAGGTGTACGTCGGCTGGAGCGCCCTCCAAGCGCGTGGTTGAGCCAACAACCCCACCCTTCCTCTGACATATCTCTTGCGTCGCTGCCAATGACGGCACTACACATCAACGAGGTTGCCAAGCCCATAGCTAGACCAGTGGCAGAGCCAAACTTTGTTTTTCTAGACATCGATTCCATGGCCCTCCATCCGAATACCTCCGCTGCCGTGACGACCAACAAAACAGTCTTTGAAGATGCTGCCAACACCACGATCCGTGCACCATGCTCGAATGCGTCGAGCAATGCAATGAATCCCCAACACCACGCAGCCGTGCATTCGGTCGTCGGTAACTCAAAGCAGCGAGCTGCGAGCGACGCTGTCCTCGTCATGACCTTGTGTCTTGTGGTACTCTTGGGAGTAGTGCTGTTGCAGCGAAAACACCGCCGCCGCGCCAAAGGCTACACTGCGCTGCCAAGATAAACCCCAGCATAAAACTTTCATCTTGGTGCACTGTCAAAAACGCCGCCATTCCACCATGTTTGCGACATCCAAACAAGCGCCGCGTCGCTGAGCCTGGACGGCTGCAGAAAGCTGCTTCCTCCCCCAAAGCCCTCGAACCAAAGCAGCACCGCGCCGTCGTCAGGATGCTGGATGCTTGCGGTTGGCATGCTTGCGGTTGGCGTGAAAAACGCATATTTTTCTTGGACCAGACTAATCCATGTGTGCCTGACACGTCGCCTGTGCACTGCGTGAGCTCGGATGCGCCAAGGAATTCGTGAAGAATGGCTTGCAAAGTGACTTGAAGGCTCTTTGGGACGCTATCTCAAGTTGCAGCACGATGTCGAAACTTCGCGTGTTTGCAGGACATCTCATTCTATCCGACCGCTGCCAGCATGGCCTGTGCTGGACCCCCATCCAATTGCATGTGCCTCATGAATGCATTCTGGTCATGCTGTTGTTCATACACACACTTCATTCGGAGCAACCACCGGTCAACTAAATGACCGTCTTGAACCGATGGTTTTCAAACGACTGAGCGAGCTTGGCGCCGGGGTGCTGGACGTACATGCGCGGGATGTACTTGACGTAGTTTTCGTTGATGACGCCGTCAGCAAGCTTCTGCGCGCGCGATCGGTACTTGCACAGGGTGTTGACGAAATTCTTGTTGCGGTAGAGCGAGAGACACTCGTGGCACGTCTTGCCGATCGCCGACACCTTGGTGCAGTCGACGCTAAACACGGTTGTCCCGACGATGTTCCATTTGCGCGTGGCGAATTCATACTTTTGAAAAACCTCGAGCTGCTCCTCCGTCAAGTTTTTGAACGACCGAATGTTGAACAGTTGCTTCAGGATCTCCTCGCGGCGCTGGCACCCCCCAAACATGCGCATGGCGTTGGAACAATAGTTGCGGATCTCGTCCGACGTAAGACCGGCACACAGGAATGTATTCACGGACGCTGGCTGCGCCGGCAGCACGCGTTTGGGCTTCTTCGATGGTTTGCAGCGGTCCAGATGCGCCTTCAAGTTGGACAAGTTGAGGCGCCCACCTGCAATTTTGACCGCCTTCCCGCACTTCCAGCACGAGATGCACACGTTGCGCCCCTTGTGAACCATCGTAACGTTTTCGACGTCAAACTTCTCCTTGAGCTGTCGTCGAGCGTTCTCCAAGAACAGGATGCTCAAGTTCTCTTCGGACAACGCTTTCTTGCTTGACCTCCGTCCCCCCTTTTTCGCCTGCTCCTCAACCTCACCTGGCTTTGGCATCATCGCGGCGCTGCCCTTGCATCTTTCCAAATGCGAATTCATGCTTCGCAGGTGCACATGTCCTGTCGCGATTTTGATCTGCTTGCCGCACTGCCAGCACGAAATCGTCACGTTTCGCCCTTCATGGCACATTTGCACATGTTCGATGCCAAACTTTTCGTGAATCTGCCGTTTGATCTTGCCCAAGAACAGCTCGAGTTGATGTTCCTCCGTCAGTCCTGCTTTCGACAGACTGCGACGCTTCTTTGGCGCTGACTGCCTCGACTCTACGTCGTCGAGGGTTCGCTTCGTCGTTGATGGCGGCGGTGGCGGCGGCAAGGCAAGCGACCCAACGAGCGTTGGGATGGCAGGCGCGACCGGGGTGGCACTCATAGGTCAGAGGCGTTTTTGTTTGGAAATGGCCGCCCTTCGAATTTCGTAGGGGCAGTGCGATTTCGAATTTCGAAGCTTGGTGTATTCAGTGCAGTGGAATTTGAAATTTTAAAAAGTGATACTGGACATACTTGACCTTTATCGGTTTGGTGTGAGGTGAGCCGAAATTTTCGTGCTATTTTTTGTGGAATTTCCATGTTTTTCGAATCGCGTGCATACAACTTTACCGCATTGTTCCAGTGCCATTTAGATTTTTGCACGAAATTTCAACATTTTTGTTTAGTTGATGATACGTTTCCAGTTCTCTTTTCGATACGGCACACCGCTTCCCGCCACTTCACGCAAACCATGGCGACATTTGCATCGAGCACTATGCGGGAATCGCAGCTTTTCACACCTTTCATGCGCTGAAAATAGAGTAGTGCACATATTTGGTGGCGGCTATGAGATGCCTACCCGATGAGACAAGCGCCACATCCAAGGTAAGACCAATCTTACCGCCTATCGTGGTCGTGGTCCCGTGATGATCCTACTTCGAGGCCATGGAGCGATCCCCTCGATACTGTAAGTCCCCTGGAGGTGTCTGCCTTCGTATGGATACAAAGCTGCGAACTATTTCGCCGTTCTCCGTCATCACACCCTGTGCTGCATTTCTGTGGGAGGATTTATCCTGCCGCATTCCCTTCCCGGATAAAAATCTCGCCTTCGACCCTGCACCGCCTTGCAGTCGCCCTCCAAGGGCATGAATATTTAAGATCTTACAGCCAAGAAGCACTCTTTGCATCTAAAGTACCTTTTGCCATCTCAATGGGCATTTCCAGGTTGAATGCATGGTTGAGTAGGGTGAGGCAACTTCTGCTAAACTTGCAGAGATCGACGGCGGCGGCAAGGCGATGAGTTAGTTAGGGGACGTTCGTTGGGCTCGAACGAGGCAGTTGCTGCTTCGTACTCCCCGGCAACTCTGTTGAATGGCACCGAGAATGGCCGACCCAAATGGCGGCGAAGGGGCAAAGTGGCCCCGGGGAAGGACGTGCCTGGCGGCGACTGTGCCAAGTTCGATTCCCTTTGTCGTGTTCATCGCCACCCCAACGTATATGCCGAATGATTTCAGGCGCGACCACTCGTGGGGACAACGCGAACCGAGGGTTCATCGTGGCATTCAGTACGACAAGCGTATCGGTGCCCAACGCGGGCGTTGCGAAGTTGAAAGCCAACTGTTGTGGATGCGCGGAAGATGGGACGAGTTCTCGCTCTCCGCCGGCGCCGCTGCTGCCTTGAGGAAGAACCCTCCTTTGTACAAAAGAAGTGTCGACAGTGAAGGAACCCTGCCCGAGACGTACACATGGCTTTCCATTTGGCCATGTGCGGTGCGCTGAGTCTTCACGGGACGAACAGCACGGCGGCTAATGGGCGTGAGATCGGCGACGCAAGTAAACTTTGGCGTGAGGCGGCGCTGAGCACGGTCCAAAATCACACTGACCGTCGCGCCGTGGCTGGTTGAGGACGCCTTTGGCTGGCGCCGCGCAGTTTTTCCAAGTGTTTCTGCTCGGTGACTTTGTCAACCGAATCTTTGCATGGCACTGTGCGAGTCAGTCGAAGCACACTCGGATGGCGACGTCGACTGTCCTCGAGTTGAGAACAATGCGTGCAGATCCAGCGTTGAAAGAGTTCGTATTGGGTTGTGTGTAGTTGCAAATGCTGCATGCCATAGCGACGACCGGGCCTTTGGCACCGTGCCATTAGATGCAGCAAGGCGCTGCCACACGGTCGTGTGGAGAACCCTGTCGACCTGGCCAAGCGAACGCGCGCAAGCAAGTACTGGCCATGGAGCTTCACATGGCCATCATCTGGGGCCTTAGCGCATAGCCGATCATCGACCTGCAGCGCGCGTTTTTGGCGACCGCACACCCTGCAAGCATTTGTTGTGTCTTGATTGCTTTAGGGGACGATGGGGTCGTCGTCGTCGCTTTTGTCGCCATCTATACGTGGTAAGGCGCCGCTGACGCCACTGCATGTCCGACATGGCAGTGTTGGGGTGAAAACTGCCAGGCGCAACCCCACAGTCGGGCGACTAACTCGGGGCTCGCGCGCCATGAAGTGGGCAAGTTCGAAAGAGGCTGTTCGTCCACTGCGCGTGATCAGAGAAGTTCTCGCGCTCGATCTCTTTGTGAACCGACTCGTCAAGATGAGGAACCCAGTGCATTTCTTACACGTGCAACGTGGCGCTGGTCGTGGCATCGCCACAGTCGTTTGTGCGACAGCACACCATTGGAAGTGGTCACCGAGGACTGAATCGTGCCGTCTGGCGTTTGGTGGCGCAGATGGCTAGCCAAGTGGTTCTTACACTGGGCCACTCTCACCCCCCCCACTCCACCTGCCCCCACCTTTATCACTCAATGTCAATCACGCCTTGACTTGCCAGCCTAGGCTAGCTCTATCGACGGGCTGGTGTGTTGACGAATTCGACGCGGTGGCTCCGCGCTTTACACCAGACCCACGGCCAGCAACATAAGCTGCCATGTTGCCAAGACCTCGGACACCATCTCACTTCATCGTGGTCACGTTGTGGGGCCTTTGACGGCTTGTGGAGCTCTGTGGCCGACGCCCTGCGCACATTTCTGCCGCATTGAATGCTGTCCGAGATTCAGAGTGTGGTGTAGAGGCTCCGGCGTCCCCATCTCGAGGAAGCCAGGGGGACAGACGATTGCTTGCACACGCGAGCGAGATCAAGCCCCATTCTCACCACAACGCGCACACAACGACATGATGAAGTGTTTGATAAGTTAAGTGTACACAGCCAAATGCTGCTTCTAGAGTCTACTTCGTCGACGCCATCAACGGCAGCACTGTTCGATTTCGTCTACAATCGTCGAAGCAAACCAGTGCAAGAGGCGGCGGTGTGTCGCGTCAAAGCGAGCACGGGGGAGTCCGTCGCTAACGCCGACGGTGCCGAGCTCAATTCCATCCGACGTGATCAATGTCAGCCCAACGTAGTATCGGATGCATTCCCGTCCCGTCACTCGGATAGACGTGTTAAAGCGGTGGTCGACGGTCGCGTCGGGGACGACGAGGGGGGTCGTGCCCTTTTCAAGCGTCGCCACGTTGAACGCATCCTTTCGAGCGATGCGGAAGGACGGGGCCATGCCGGACGTCGCCTTCATGACAAACCCACCCTTGTACAGAAGGCTCACGTACGCGTGGTGGCAATCCAAAGCGCCTGCCAGCGACACGCACAGCTTCTCGAGCCGCTCGTGGAGCTCCGCGTTGGAGAACGCGTTTTGCCGTAGGGTTTCCGCCTGTGGGGTCACCAGGATCGATTCGAGGCCACCATGACGGGCACTCTCCGCTGGCGCGTGGGAGGCTTGTTGGCGCGATGCAGCTGCTGTCGTCGAATCCCCTTTCCGAGGCACGGATGCCTCGTTAAGAACATGACGCGGTGTGAACTGCGGAGCGTGATGGTGGACCAAACTGACGCCGTCATTTCGAGGGGTCGCGACGGGGTGTTGGCGGGGTGTTACAGAAGAGGGTGCGGCAACGTAGTGACCTGAGGCCCCGCGGGGCGTCGAAAACGCGCGCACGCCGCTCAGGTCGCGTCGGGCGGACACAATGGGCTGGGGAGGCACGGTCGTGGACTTGGCCGTGCTGTACCCTCGATGACGGACTTGCCCAGTGCAGAGGACTTCGCTAATTCGAGGAAGGGCGCCATGCTCATCGTTGACGTCGTCTTGTTCCACCGCGTCGCCGTGTCGATGGTGGCGGGGTTTCGAGGAGGCCCCTGCCTTGTTGGTCAAGATCAAGTTCGCCTGGCATTGCGCAAGGCACACGTTGCACACGCGTAGGTCGACCTCGACGCAGCGAGCAGATTCGCCGCGCTCCACCTTCGAGCAGTTGGTGCACACGGCCCGGTTGCACAACCGGCACTCGGTCGGCATTCGTCGATACAAGTTGTGGCTGCAGAGGTGGCACCGATTCGCCGTGCACGTCGTGTGGTCCGGAGTCGCTATAGAGAGGCGCACAAGCCGGCGGCGCCACACCGCCGTCGCCAACAGACTCACCGACCCCGCGAGTTGATGCAGCATCGCGTGCGCGAACGCGTGTTTTTTGCCAACGTGTTGGCCGAAGTACGTAACCTTGACGCCGCCCGCGTGCACCTCGGCCATGTGGAAACCAAACAAGATGTTGGTCAAACAGCGTGTGGCTTTGGCACTGTCGTCCGTTCGTCGGAAGTCGAGCGATTTGAACGCCCGAATGAACGCGACGTCGGACAGTTTCCGGACAAAGTCGAGCATGTGGAGGTCGTGCCGAGACGTGCGGAAGAGGCGCTTTTCGTGAAGTTTCAGCGCTTTTATGGACGCGGTGCACCCGGCGAAGTCGTCGGGACCGGTGGCGCTACCTCCCGGAGGCGGGAACTCGTCGGGGGTGCTGTCGTCGCGCGAGGACTGGCGCAGAACCCCTGGCGTAACTCGGCGCACAGACATGGCTTCCGTGAGAGCGTCTTGGAACACACGTAGAAGGAACGCTTGGAAGCCAAGCTGCGGGTCGCGCGAGAACACGTCCAGCACTTCGTTCAGCGTGCCAGGTACGATAATCGTCGTGACAACCGTGAGGCACTTGGGCTGCGCGTCGACGACGTTGGCTGGGTAGAAGCGGCACTTGTCCAGGACGTACGTCGCGATGGCGTGGCCACGACAGAGAAGGTCGTTGTCGGTCATCGTCACAGCGTCGTGGTCGAACACGGAAGGCCACGCATGGTCGGGCGTATTCGTTGTCGAGGACGTGACCGAGTCGGTCCGGCGCGGTGGGCGCGACTGCTGTGATGGTTCTGGTTCGGGCGGATGGGTTGGTTTGGCAGCCGACGCCAGCCGCGGGCCAAGGAACTCCGGGTCCATTTTCAAGACTCGATGGAACATGATGGGACGAGTTCCAAATCGGCTATGCCGTCGTGCACTTGTCGAGCTGCCATGACAGTGGCATCGCTGTCGTTGCCAAACCCAACTGGATCATGGCTCGCATGTTTCTTGGGGCTCCGTACGTTTGCCCTGGCCGTGTGTACAAATGCACCGACCGTCCATCGTGCCCCCATGTACCCAACATCTCACCGGACAAAATTGTCAAATTAGGCCGTCTAAACGGTTTCCTTTAATTCGTACGATATTCTCATCCATCCCACAATGCCAGCGACCGTCCAACGTCTCCATGAGATCTATTACGTGTCACGTAGATGCACGCTGCGCTAATTCAACAAGACGACATGCGCACGACTAGATCATCGATAGGTCTAAAGCCTCAACATGACCCGTCATGATGCACCGACAGCTGCCTGATGCAACTACAAGCGACACTCTGAGCGGCACATATCACGTTGTCGACGTGTCTTTGTCGTCAAAATGGACCCGAGCTGATCGGACGGGTGAGAAATTCGCGTACCTGATGGTTGTGACTCGTCGGAGATACCTTTCTCATGCCCACATTGACTGCATGCCCCTGAACTCAACATGGCGACCTTTCAAACGTGACATCGGAAAGGAGGCACATGGCCATGCCGACATCGTATGGCTTTGACAGCATTCTCGTCCCCTTGCGCTGCCAATGCCACGTTGACGAGGTTGGTCGATGTGGACATTGCATTCTGGCAGGCCAACGCCGTTCCTGCTTGCAACCTTCGCTATACTTACTTGGCTCGCCTGACGAACGTTCGCCAGGGCCGCGTGGGTGCCATATGCCGCCTCCTGGAGGCGCCATTCGGGTGTGAGCATTGGAGCCAACCTGCCGGTTCAAACCATGGCACAAAGCGCTTGGCCGGCAGCGCGATGGTCGGTGGGTGCCACCGATGAGGCCGGCGAACCAATGGATGAGGACGTAGAAAAACTTCTAACATTCGTTTGGTTGGTCGTGTGGCTGCAGTAGGCTGCCTTGGAGTGACTTGGCAGTCAGCCTGCTCAGACGGGGTCGAGAAAAATGGCAAACGAGGTCGCTACTTACTCTATGGAATTCCAGGGGATGTAGCGACCTGAATGGATATTCCAAGCAGCGTTACCCATCATCCATCGATCTGGGTTGGTTGTGCTACACGGAGCAGCCCCCAGAAGGATAGGAGGTCGTGTGTGACAGGGGGGCAATCGGGGCCACAGGCTCTGCATTCGCACGCGGGGGGTTATTGTTCTGCAACGAAGCGTCCTTACTCCATGTCATGCCACACAAGCGCATCCAGAATGCGTGCCCCCCCCGTCAATTTACGCTTGTCTCCCCATGCCCCACACGTTTCGACGTACGCCGAAAGTCAAAGGATATCCTCCCACTGTTCCATCAACTCGACATGTCGATGCAGAACACTCCAAGCGTACTGCGTCCAACGATGCCATCAGCGAGTTGCACGGTCGAAACCCACGTCCCTTTCGTCGTTGCTGCAAACAAGCACACGGGTCGACGGAAGAGAAATGACCGTGATATGTTCAAGTACCTTCCGTCCCGCCTCTCATGGTGGCACCGCGTCGAGAGCGACGAATCGGGGGACCCGACAACTCGATGCGCCCATTGCCACACAAAGTTTGCTCATATTTTCGTGAGCTGCACGAGGTTCTGAGTCGTGTGCAGATCCAAGATTGTGTTTGAGGCACGGAGGGGGCGCTCTACCGAACGGGGACGACGGACCGAACCCATGGCCCACCATGAAGGTGGCGTCACATACACCACCCGTGCTTGCCTCCACACCGATCCACCGACCGCTGGCTATGCATACGGCACCTACACCGCCCCTTGACAAACTGGCTACATCAGGTAGACTGCATTACTACGTATAGCGGCCGATGGACTCACTCGAAACCCAGCCACCGTTCGTTGTCGACGAAGGCACCGCCCATGGCGCCAACTGAGCAGCGCACTGCTTGTTTTCTCACGCAAGGTGGCGGGATTCGTCAAATGCATGCGTAGGACCAGCAATAGGGTGTGGAACCTGCGCTTCAAGTGATTAGGATGGTAGTCTAGCAACACGAGTGCCATTCCACCGTGAAGACAATGCGTGTACTACTCGCTCCCTCATCCACTCGAGGCATCGCGCGAGACGACGCGCAGACACGTCCGATGCGCGTCAATGTCGATGGTGAGCCGCGGCAACGTTCCAATCGTACTGTGCGTTGCCATGGGGTCATACAAATGAGGGAGGTAGTGCTCGTAGGCTGGCATGAACCGATCGACAAAGTCTCGCACTTGCGCAGGAGTCATAGCAGACTTTCCAACCGCCCGCATCTGGGCCTCAGCCTCCTCGCGCCACCTGCGTTTTCACTACAGTTGTCAGCGACCAACCATGGCAACGACAGAAAGGACCATGCGCAAAGACGGGAAGTGTCCAGGAGCGTATAGTGCACACGTACGTGTACACCCACTGGATGTCGTCGACATGGATGACAATCAGCGCGGACAGGGCCTCGTACAACCGGTCAAAGTCGCGGAGTGCCTTGTTCACAGCCCCCAAATGTCTACCACGCGCGTCACATGAGCATAAAGTCGAAAGTACTGCACCCAGGAGGGTCGACGGCGTTTGCTTCAAATCCGAGGCACCACCCCTCAACCAACAGCACGTCCACAGGGCCTGTGGTCGTTGGTTATCGGTAAGATCGAGCAAAGTAGGATCGAGGCCATGATGCACCTGGATACGTGATCCATTGGTCCCGGGAGAACCGATCGCCTCGCCCGTTGTGAGCCGACTTGTCGTATCGTGGCACAACAACGTCGCAGCCGGCTTGAGCATCGTCGATTAACGACAGGAGAAGATTCAGGTCGTGAGTGCCAGGATTGCCACGGTGCTACCGCGATCGTGAAGGCAACATGCGGGCAGATGCGAAATCGTACTTCAAGGAGGGGATTGTGAGGGAACGACGCGGCCACCTTCAATTGATCGGCACGCGAAAGATACACGTCGTCCAACGACAGCGTCGCGCACGTTTTACCCGTGGCGCGGAAGAGAGTCTCGAGGTACGATGACATGGTGGTTTTACCACCGCCCTTGGTACATGGCAGAATTCATACATACCGCCGGCAAGGTCTTTTTGCTACACACCTGGACACAACTCAAACCAAGCACGGAGCAAGGAGCCTTGAGCTGCATTTCCGCCCAGAAGAACACTGGGAGGTAGTACGTGTGGATGAGTTGGTGGACGTATTCAGCCTTGGACGGGAACTTCGACGGCACTTGCATGGATGCAGCCATCAGAAGTGGTTCCAAGACTCGGCCCAGAGTCTGCGCGCGGGTCATCGCCATCGTTTTGGAACGAAATGGCCATGACTGTTGAACGACTATTTTGACGAGATATAGATATTTCGTGCATTTCCGACAATCCCGAATATCTTGGGGGTGACATGGCAGTTTCGCTACTGGTGGGACGAGTAACGGAAAACAGTTTCGCTTTCACTTCAACTCTGCATGTCGTGCCATAACGATGGGCGATCGCACAACACGTTGCGTCCACGATGTACAGTACCATCACGATGAGTTGTTGCCCGATATATACGCACTCCTCGTGTGGCCTTCTACGCTTACTCGCGTGAGCGAATTCCATGTCTCCTTACTCGGCCCTTTGTGAACGCCAAAGGCTGGCGATGATGCCTGGAATGAATTTCAATGCCCTGCTTGCTGACAAGATCGTGAAACGGTTGAATGTGTCCGGTTCTGGGGGCGAAGACTTGGGGGAAGAGAAACGTTGAGCTCCAGTCAATTGGCGTAAAGACATGCCGAGCGTGCTTGCCGCCAACATCAATTGATTTACCGCAGGTATGTAGTAGGGCGGTCCTTCTGCTCGCAGAGTGCGAGTTCTGACAAGCGGAGGTATGTGTTCAGAAAGCAAAAATGTAGCTGTGGCCACAAGCATGTTTCATACGTCACCTCGTCAATACGCCCAGCGTTTGCCACCACGGCGTTCTTGAAGGTACGCCCCCCCCTTGAGAATCCTGTGCCGAAGCGTGCACATCTTTCCATCCCGACAACCGACTTTAGAGAAACATCAGCACAAAGACCATGCCGCTTGGCGTTAGTTGGCTAGCCAATCACCGATCCTTATTTTGGAATTTTATCCAATCAATTTCGACTTTGTCATCGAATTGTGCGCAGTGGTCAGCGAAACCCCTTTTGTTTCGATAGGCTTTCACTTTATATCGCAATTGATATGCGATTTGGAAGTGTTTTGTATTTCAAAATCGATAATTGACCTGCATATGTACATATACTTCGACAATACATGCCTCAGGGTCATCATATAGTATGTAGTATTAGAGGTCATTCCATTTTGGTGTGGGTTCTTTGTTTCAAAAATCCAGTAAAGTTCAGACGCATTAGGTCAGACGCCCCCGCCGCCACACCACGACCACCAACCTACGAACATGTCCACGCTCAACGAAATGCCGGTGGAGCCGCCTGTAACGCAATCCGCGGCGTTCCATCAAGCTCATTCGTCATCTCCCCGCCATCGATCACAGCACACGCCCTTCCAGCTCAAGTTCACGTGCGTTGGCCACAAGAAGGCTATCTCAAGCGTCGAGTTTGCGCCAACTGGACACGTGCTTGCCAGCGCATGTACGTCCCTCTTACAACTCACTTGATGAGAAGGACGAAACATGCGCTGATCCTGACGTGTCTGCTTCTAGCACCCGACAAAACCGTCAAGTTGTGGGATGCCTCGTCGGGCTCGCTCAAAACGACCCTCGAAGGCCACGACCAAGGCATCTCCGACATTTCGTGGTGCCAGAATGCGAAATATCTCGCGTCAGGCTCGGACGACCGCACTGTCAAGACATGGGATATCGAACAAGGCTGCACCGTTGCTACTTTGCGCGGGCACACCAACGTTGTGTTTTCCGTCAACTTTAACCCTCAAGGAACACTCATTGCAAGCTCCTCTTTTGACGACAGCGTGCGAATTTGGGACTTTCGGACCGGTCGCATTGCTCGAATGATTCCTGCGCACTCGGACCCTGTTACGGCCGCTTCGTTCAACCGTGACGGCACGCTTCTCGTTTCGAGCAGGTAACCCCCCATCTACTCGACTTCGTCCGATGCTAACTTGGTGATTCTTAGCTACGATGGACTGTGTCGGATATGGGACGTTGCGTCAGGGCAGTGTCTCAACACGCTGACGCTGTCGACAGACGCCACGACCACCGACCCGATCGTGCCCGTCTCATACGCACGATTCACGCCCAACGGCAAGTTTGTCCTTGTCAGCACGTTGGATGGGAAGTTGAGGCTGTGGGACTACGTGCGATCCCGCGTGCTCAAGACTTACAGTGGCCACGTGAACTCGTCGTTTTGCATCTTCTCGTCGTTCTCGGTCGTGGGGGACAAACCGCATGTCGTGAGTGGGTCGGAGGACGGCAACGTCATTTTGTGGGACGTCCAGACCCAGGCCATTGCGCAGATCATTCCGGCGCACACAGACGCGGTCCTCGCTGTCGCAGCCAACCCCATGCGACCCATGCTCGCGACTGGCGCCCTCGAAAAGGACAAGACGGTCAAGGTCTGGGAAGGTTGACCCGGTGTGTGCATGCTTTGTGGGAATCCTGCAGATCGGTCTGTTTGAGCTGCTTTCAGTCGTGCAGCTCCACAGATACCGCCAATCGCCTAGACCTTGCAGCGCTCTCGGTAAGAGGGGTCGCTGTCGACTCTGCTGGACTTGTGTCGTTATTTAAACTTAAGTAATATTTTCTCTGACTTTGATGGTGTGCTGCCCCTCATCGCCTGCACAACAAATCTTCAAGTCCTCGACATCAACGACTCCTGGGCATCGTCGCCATTAAATGTCATCTGCCGTTGGAACCATCCTAAAGGTGTGGTGGACAATGCACTCTCGATTCCCTTGCAGAATGGCCGTGGACTCCGCCCTGCACACACATGAACCGCAAGATCCTCTTGCAGTTGGGAGCGCGTCCCGTATCTTGCACCAGTACCTTGCAACACTCCCGACGGACAGATGGATCCATCCCTAGCGGTGGGCTTGTTCGACACGGAATTCAAAGACGCTTTTGTGGAGTGGTCGAGCTCTTGTGTTGGACCAACCCAATCAACGACATGGGAACGCAGCAGCACAAAGGAATTCTCCTTCAACAACGTGCGTGGAGCGGTCGTTTAGTCGTGGCTGGCACCATCCCATCTTGGACACAGACTCGATGCGCATCCTGCACCAGTCCTCGAAATTGAATCTGCTCTCCCCCATCCGTTTCGACGGGCAATACTCCAACCCTGATACGTATCAATTCGCGAAGTACACCGGATCAATCGTGTACTGTGCTGGGGCGGTGGCATGCCTTTCGTGAGCCCCCTGGCGCCAACAGACGGGGAGCGAATGAACCGTCATGTGAATGCACTCTATTAAAACTCGTCCTTGATATCCAACCACTTGGTGAGGTAGATGCACGTGGCTGGTGAAATGATGTTTCCATCCGCGCACTGGTCGAACACAGGGCACACCCCGCACGGCGTGTCTGACAGCGTGTCAAAGTCCGTCACTTCACGGGATACCTTGTAAGACACTTCGCGCCATTCCTAGCCACACATACTCATAAAAATCTATGGACCCAAGCGCGTAGCTCGTACCCCGCTGGCGAGCCTTGCCGCCCGAACTTCCTCGACTCGGTCGTCGTAGATGAGTGTGTTGAGAATGGACATCATTTCGTCCGGGCCTAGCGACACCTTGGCGATGCCAGACTCGTGCACCTTATCTGTGATTTGCTTGAGGGTGACGATGCCCTGTCGAGGAATGGTGGGATGAGGTGGCGTCCATGGGGAGCATGAACAGGTACGTAGGTAGGTACCTTGGCGCGGATGAACTGGCACACAAAGTTTCGCAGAGTGTCGATAAAGTCGTGGTCAAACTCTTGTTCGTTGTACCATGGTCCGCCCGTGATATCTCGCGATGGCACGAGATCGAAGAGCATGTACAGCTTCTTGTTCTTTTGACTGATTGATTTGACTGCCTTCACGAGATGGCGCGTCTCGAGCAAACGGATCGTCTTACGGATGATCACTTCCGGGATGTTGGTTTTCGCCTTGATATCTCGTGTCCAGATGCCTTTGTTGCCAGCTTTTTCAATCTCATGGAGCACCCCCCGTTGTTCAACCCTACAGTGTCGTCGCATATGACCGGTGTCCGCTGACCAAGTCCACGTACGTGAGACCACGCATGCGTTCGGCTTCCTCCTTGGCCACTAGGCCATACATCAAGTTGCCATTTTGTTGAAAGATCTTGATGCGACCCTATCTCGACCATGTTGATGAGACTCAACGGTGTTCAAGCAGCATGAATGTGCACGTACATCCGTAACGAGTTCATTGATCACTCCTGGAAGCTTGTCATACTCGGCTCGGAAGGAGTCCCGCACCTGGGCGTCGGAGATCGCGTCCGTCGATGACCCCAACAAGTCCAGGAAGGCCTTGGCATGGTCCATCTTGCGTCCCAATCCAACGAGTTTAAGTTGAATAAACCTGTGAAATATCATATCGAATTCCACAAGGTTTCCCGTGTGATTGGTGCAAGCCAATAGCATTGGTTGGTGCAGCATTTTGTATCTTGGCGCGCCGTCGTCCACCGCCGCCGCCAGCTACCTCGTTCGGAAGATGAAGTTCTCGTACGAGGTCCGACGCTACTTACGTCCGCGAGTGTACTCACGTGGATTCTGATGCGTGCGCGTGTATAGTTCAGCCACCTCTGTGGGACCGTCTACACACAGGGCAACCTTGTGTTCACGCCGGACGGGAATTCGCTGCTCAGTCCTGTCGGCAATCGCATCACCGTGTTCGACTTGATCAAGTACGTCCATGTCGCGTTTTCTTCTCGTTTGTACTAACGATGTATGCAGCAATGCGTCGCGAACGTTTGCGTTTGAAAGCCGCAAGAACGTCCAAACGATTGCCGTCTCCCTCGATTCTCGCCTGCTCGTTGCTGTCGACGAAGGTACAGCATGATAGTTGCAAGTATATTGTGCATTGACCACTGACGCACGACACGTTTCGCTACCTCCAGACGGCCATTCGCTTCTGGTGAACCTCAAGAAAGGGATTGTCCTGTACCGATTCAACTTCAAAGCGCCCGTTCGCACCCTTCGCTTCAGCCCGGACAACCGATACCTCGCCGTGTCCCATGGCACGAAGATTCAAGTGTGGAAGGCGCCGGGCCTCAAGCGAGAATTCGCACCGTTCGTTCACCACCGAACGTACGGTGGACACCACGGCGACGTTTTGTCGATTGAATGGTCGCCCGACTCGAAGTTCTTTCTCAGTTCTGCCAAGGATCTGTCCGTGCGCCTGTGGTCTCTCCAGCCGTACCCGAACTTCACGCCGTACACACTGGTCGGCCATCGCGATGTCGTGGTCGGCGCGTACTTTTCTGCCGACGGTCAGACAATCTACACGGTTGCGCGGGATGGCGGCGCGTATCTCTGGGAACACGACGGTGGTGTCGCCCCCGACGAGGATGTCGATGAAGACGAGATCCCGCTCGTTGCTCGCGGTGTCAAGTGGTCCACCAAGCACAAACACGTATTCAAAATGGAGTACGCCAAGGTGGACTGCGTGACGTTTCACGCCGCCACTGAGCTGCTCGTTGTGGGGTTTGGCAACGGCACGTTCGGGTTGTACTCGCTTCCCGACTTCCAGGACATTCACACGCTCAGTGTTTCGCAACATCGCATCAGCTCCGTCGCAATCAACGCGTCCGGCGAATGGTTGGCGTTGGCTTCGCAACACCTCGGCCAACTTCTCGTGTGGGAGTGGAAATCCGAGACATACGTGCTCAAGCAGCAAGGCCACTACTTTGACTTGAACGTGCTTGCATACTCGCCGGACGGCCGCCTTCTCGCCACGGGGGCCGACGATGCCAAGCTCAAGTTGTGGGACACCACATCTGGCTTTTGCTACGTCACGTTCCACGAGCACACCGCCCCCGTGACTGGCGTCGCGTTCACGGCCAACGGCCAAGCGGTCGTGAGCTGTTCGTTGGACGGCACCGTGCGCGCTTTCGACTTGAACCGGTACAAGAATTTCCGCACGCTGACGACGCCGAGCCCTGTCCAGTTTCTCTGCCTCGCCCTGGATACGAGCGGCCAGCTCGTGTGCGCCGGGACTCTCGATCCGTTCCACATATACGTGTGGTCCATGCAGACCGGTCGCCTCACGGACGTCTTAAGTGGCCACACGGCGCCGATCACGTCACTGGCGTTTTCGCCGTCGACGACCGAGGTAAGACCGCTCTGTAAGGTATCATGGTCACTTCGGCGGCCATGCGTGCTTCTGGCTTTTCCAACGTGTTGTCTGTTTCGATCGAGCTCATGCGATTCCCGTGACTTGTAGGAGCTCCTCCTCGCGTCCGGGTCGTGGGACCATACCGTGCGCGTATGGAACGTGTATCAGAACAAGCCATTCATTGAACCGCTTGCCCATTCCAGCGACGTCCTGGCGGTTGCGTTCCGGCCCGACGGCAAGCAAGTGTGCAGCGCTACGCTCAACGGGCACTTGAATCTCTGGACGGTCGCGGACGGTGAACTCGTCGGGGAAATCGATGGTCAGAAGGACGTGGCTGGAGGCCGGCATTCGTCGGTGCGTGCGCGTAGACCATGACCCATCGAGCCCACGTTTGTGACGGTGTAGGACGCCATGTCGGCCGCCAACAACACGCGATCCAAGCACTTTACGTCAGTGTGTTACTCGGCCGAAGGCAACTGCATCTTGGCTGGCGGCCAGTCCAAGTATATTTGTATCTACCAAGTGTCGACGAAAACACCGATGCTCCTCAAGAAATTTCAGCTGAGCCAAAACCGGAGCTTGGAAGGCGTGCTCGATCGACTGCACTCGGCTGAAATGACGGAGGCCGGTGCCAAGGCCCAGCTCAACCTCGACGTTGATCCTCTCAGCACGTACAACGCCGCGTACGTATATGCGTATTTCCTGGATGAAAGGAATACGGCAATGGACTGATGGGCTGTAGTGACAACCAACTTATCGGCGCGAAGCGAGCCGTGGACCCCGGCGCCCGCCGACAAGGCATGGAAGTGCTATCAAAAGCTGTTTTATTCTCGCCGACAGGCCGATCGTGGGCTGCCGCCACGACGGAAGGGCTTTTGATTTACAGCTTGGACGAGACGCTCGTGTTTGACCCGTTTGATCTTGACGAAGACATTACGCCCGACACGATCAGGCGGACACTGGCGCACCAAGAGTTTAGCAAGGTACAATGCGGAATTGCTCTCGACGATTGCATGACGCCAGTGCACTGATTTGACAATTGGCTATCAGGGTTTGCTCATGGCACTGCATTTAAATGAAGAACTGTTGCTTCGGTTGTGCTTGGAAAGCGTGCCAGTCGAAAGTATCCCTCTCGTGGCACAGGCCCTGACCGACACGTACTTGAAGCGGCTCATGGCGCTGCTGGCCAAGGGACTGACCGACAGCCCCCACTTGGAGTACTACCTCACGTGGAGCCTCGCGATACTGAACGCGCACGGACCGATCATCGACGCGCACTCGGTGGAATTTCTCAGCACGCTTCGCGCGCTGCAGAAGAGCCTCGTCACCCACTTCAATGACCTCTCTCGCGTCTGCAACGACAACCAGTACACGCTCGATTACCTGCGAAACCTGAGCCAGCTAAACCGTCATGACAGCCAGCAACGCGATGCCGACCAAGTGGCAGTACCATAGTCGTCACCCCTGTCACAAAGTTCCTAAATATTGCTGCGTTCTTGGACAGTCTAGTTTCGAGCAATGAGGCCGTACATCACAAACTTGAGTCGTCGCAACCGCTAAGGCTGCTACAGTGGCTTCCTCACAACGTGTTATCGCTACCACCATCCATGCGATGCCGGCTTTGGCGCCTCATGTCATTGTTCAGGCCAGCAATCGAGTGAGTCATCGCGAACTGCGGAGGTTGTTCGGATCTCCGGATACTTGGGATGGCGGCCAAGGCAATATCCGGATATCAACCTCAGACATCTGGCACTGCGAAAAGAGCTTCGTGGCAATCGTGCCATCGATGGATCCGTTCCAGTCGAGACTGCAGCAACGCGCAATGCGCAACCCGTACAAGCCTCATGCAGACAACACGGCCGGCCGCGTGAAAATAGGCCTTGGCTTGCTCTGTTTCGTGGGCGTGGTCATGTTTTTCACCTCTGGATCGTCATCTGGCACAGTTGTCGCGCCCAAGCTTCGCAAGGACGCTGGTTACTTCGAGCAGCAAGCAGCCGCCCTGCCACCGACCCCGATGTCTGTCATGACGTTCAACATTCGCTTCGCCAGCGCAAACGATGGGTGGAACAGCTGGGACCACCGCAAGGAGCACTTGATCGACCTCATCAACAGGTATAAACCGACCGTGATGGGCACGCAGGAAGGGCTGAAGGATCAACTCGCGGAGATCCACTCGAAATTGCATGGAAACTACGACCGGTTCGGCGTCGAGAGAGAAGCAAACGGCGAGTTCGAGCAGATCTTCTACGACACGGATGTCGTGACCAAATTAGACGGCGGGAACTATTGGCTCAGCGACAACCCGGAAGTCCCTGGTGTCACTGCGTGGGACGCCCCATGCGTGCGAATGGTGACGTGGTGCAAGTTTGAGCTCAAGGCGACCAAGCAGCACTTTGTCTTCATCAACACCCAGTTTGACCATCGTAGTGAACGGTCTCGCGTCAACAGTGCCAAGTTGATCTGGCGCCGCATCCAAGACACGTGGGAGCCATCGATGCCCGTCTTTGTCGTTGGAGACTTCAACACATACCGCCACACGTCCGTGTATTCGTACCTTACCAGTGATCCCGCCGGGCCTCAATTTGCAGAAGCGTGGAAGACTGCCGACAAGGCCATCGGCGATGTTTCGTACACGTACCATGGGTGGGCCGGGGTCGACAACGACGGAGAAAAAGTCCCGGAAGTTGTGCGCGCCGCCAACCACATCGATTGGATTTTGTACCGACCGACTACAATGAAGGTCGTGTCGACAGAAGTTGTGACAGAATCGCGCAATGGACGGTACCCGTCCGATCACTACCCGATCCATGCGCACATCCTCTTTCCCAGCACCAAGGATGTCCCCGCCGCTGTGTAATGTACCAATAGTAGCGACGACAACGATGTCTTGCCTTTGTTTTACTTGTCGCGGCGACGTGGCCGCGACATAAAGCAGAATGGCGCCATTCACATCATCGCTCCTCCCGTGGTTTGGAAATGGATGGCTCGCCTGAAAGCAATGCCTAGGACAGGGCAACCTCAAGCATGGAATCGAGAGTACGCTCTTCCAGATGGAGCAGAACTCGAGAATGTGCACGATGGAACACGGCACGTCGTGCGCAACACAGCTCGACATTGTGAAAACAAAAGTGCTATTCAAAATGCCCCGTAGCACGTTAGAGGCTGGCCTGGGCCGTGGGAAAGCACGACCGAGTCCAGCGCCACCGTTTCGTGACTGCGGGTGAAGTCTCCCAGGATGGAGAGCTCGCTGAGCTTGGTCACGACTTCGACGAACGCGCATTGCGATGGCGGCGTCCACGGAAGCAACGTGTTCTTGGGGTCTGTGATCCACCCCGCCGTCTCGGAGAGCGGTATCGTAAACGTTTGCGCCGACCCAGTGAACGTAGGCGACAGTGTTTGGGGCCACGCGAGGCGCACCCCTGCATTCAGGTTGCACGTGGCGCAATCAAGAATGACCAGCGGCGTCGAAGCGGGTGTATTCCGGTTTGATGCCGCGAAATCCCCCTCCGATGCCGACAATGTAAACGTCAGCGTGCCGCCGTAGGTCGACCATTGGTTGCCCAGAAACTTGGACGGGGCCGTAAAGTACCAAAGCTGGGCGTCATCGCTGGAAGTGGGCTGAGTTTGGATCACGCTCTCTATTCAGCATGCACAGGTAAACACCCCCCCCATTCCTCGTACACTGCACCTGTTCCATAGATATAATAGCTCATGATGCCGTAGCTCGTGGGATCATAAACTGGCTAAGCCACCCCCCCATGAGCATTACACATTTGGCAGCCCTGGCAGCGAGCGCAGGGGTTCATGCTACCTGCTGGTTGTTGTTATTGCGAATGCTCCATCCTTCGGTGTCCACGTAGAATTGGCTCGACATCACGGCGGGACCTTGTGAGATCGTAATGGTCCCTGGGGCGGACGTGGTGAGCCCGTCGTTGACAGTGTACGTGAACTGGGCGAACTAGCGACCGCCACATTGGAAGATTGTTATGGACAAGGCATGGGGCGAAGAGACATGGAGGGGATTTCAAATATACCTTGGAATCAAGGGGTGAGTTGGAGAAGGGCCGTGAAAACACCACGCGAGCGTTGGAGCCTGTCACGAGCGCAGGCGTCGTCGAAATAGCGGTTGGCGTTTTCTTGGGGTCGTAGCCGTAGTCGCTGTACACTTGGGACAGTTGATAGAGAAACCCCGCGGCGGGTAGCGATGCAATCGATACTGTGAGCTATTACAAACCCGATAACGTTGACATTGGGAAGGGGACGAGGCTCCATTCGGCAAGACTTACAGCACGGCCAGCCATGCTGTACCCCTTCAACGTGACGACAACGTCCTGGCCAGGATCGACATGGTACACTAAATTGCGCGCCACAAGCGTGCTGGCGCTACCATGATCAACACGGTTGGAAGCAAATCCGAACAGAGAGAATCGCATACCCGGATGCAAATGCCGCGCATGTACTGAGCCCAGTGGCAAAGGCCAAGCGAAGTCTGCCGCTTGACACCCTCATGCTTGTTCGAAATGCCGTCGAGTCGTTACGACCAGCGGTTTTGTGATGTTTATTTTGGGCAAGAACAATCGGACATGACGATCTTGGCCGACATGAACCCCCCCTAACCAACGATATGGTCAACTGAGTAGCTCATTCGATATGCCAAATCGATTCCATTCACACCGTCGATAGGCTTCATGATATCGCAGCACCTTGCGGTAGTTCCCACTCCACCTTGGAGAGAGGTGTTTGAATTTTGATTGCTTGCCTTGGTGCTCTATATATCACAGGATTAGGTGGGGACGTCGACGAGCTGCCAGAAACCCCACAACGACATCTACTGCGAGCTGCCGGTAGGTTGAGAGGGAAGTAGTCGAGAGTCGCGCGCTCCGCTCTGAGTTGGGCTGAATCAACTTGGCTAATGAAGCAGTTACATGCGTGAAACTGCCTGGAAAGGCCGGTCTGTTTTGACCAAATCAGACCGCCGAGCCCCAAGTTGATGTTACCCAGGCATCCCACTATGTCCCTCGACAGGGCTTTCGCTGCCATTTCTCATCCGCCATCATGGTCCTCCCGACCCCGCCAGAGCTGACACCAGAGAAGGAGCCTGTCCTCCGAGTGCACCCCCCGCACAATTTCCCACGTATCCTTCCGCGTGGGCTCGTGTAAGCTAGTTCAAACAATTCCCGATTGCTTGAACTCGTCGTGTGTCGCAGGCCTTTGGTCGAGTTTACCGTCGTGAATGGCGTCACTCACGGTTTGTTCATTGCGCTGCTGGCGTTGATCGGAATCATAGCCTGGATCTACTACGTAAGACTGGCTACGACATGCACTGCTAGAAGATCACGAAATGTGTATTTCGTTAGCATGGCTTTTGGTACGTCAACGCAGCGATCGTCGTGGCGTATATGCCCACGTATTTCAACGGTGCCAGCGATAAAGTCCTGCCGTCCCAGGGTAGTTTGAACTGGGACGCCATTCGTACCCACAGATTTTGGCATATTGTCCAACGTCATTTCCGGTGAGCTGACCTCCTTCCGCTACCTCTCATTTCGATTGTAGCCTGGAGTGCGTTCGAGTGAATCGTTTAAACAGGACCAACCGAGTACGCTACATTGCCTGTCAAGGCTGATTATCTCGTCAAGTCACGCGCCTGCTGCACGTAGTACTTCTTTGGGCTGCATTCGAACACCTCCACCTCCCGCTCGGGAAGCCTCTCGCGTTGTGGTGGCATGTGGGCGGCGCTCTTCCCTGACCACCCCACCAGAACACTAGTGTCAACGCCGTACTTTTATATCCCGTTCCTGCGGGACTTGCTACTGTGGCGAGTCGAACTTGTCACGACTGCCTCGAACATTGACATGATTCATTTTGCAGGCTTGGATGTGTCGAAGCGACAGAAGGCGTCGCCCACGAAGCGCTGCACAATGGTGTGAGCCTCCTGCAGTGTCTCTATGATGTTCGCATCGACCAAAGAGAGGCCATGGATCGAACCAACGACGCGTTCTTGGTAGTCGATCCACAGGTAACGCTGCAGTCAAGTCAATTGCAGTTTTATTGTCCAACGTATCCGATGTAGTCCCAGCTTTCGCTGACGTTTGTCAGGATTGCAATGATGCATGGGGTATCGCTCGTCCCGGTCTTGGCTCTCGACACGTCGCATCGCGACAATTCAACTCCGTACGTCAGTGTGCCTACAACATTCGTGGCAGCATCGAATCGTGTAAGGCCATGACTCAGCCGGAATCTAGGACGTCGCACTGGAGTGCATTGCTTCCGAGGTGTCTTGTTCAACTCATCGAAGTATACTCGAGTGTGGACCGGGTGCGCACAAGGCCCAAGGCGAACGTTGTGGTTGTGTTTGGTTCGCCCATACCTGTATGGATACCCCATCAAGAACCCATCTTCTGTCCCCAACTACGTCCTCATCGTCGTTGGCGGCAGGTCGAGCGCAATGCACACCCCTCGCAAGACGAGGTGCAGGAAGTTCACGCAGTCTATGTCGAGCACCTTCGCGACCTCTTCGTTGCTTGCCAACGATTGCACCAAGAGTCATGACCCAGGTGTGGGTGGAATATTTTAATTCATACTTATCTTGTAGTTTATACGTAATCTATTTGAAATTCCAAACCAGCACATTTGATTGGCTTAGCCGAAATCGACTCACACGCCCATCGCGATGACTCGCACAAGCCGTTGCGTTGAAGATGTGCGAAGCGAAAAAGGCGAGCGGCGCTAAGACAGCGGCGTCAACGGGCAAGGAAGACGGTGTCTTACGCGTGCACCCCGACCCAACCTTCCGCGACTCGCTCCCGGCAGTTGTATTGTACGTAGCTTCGTCTACCCTTGATCATGGCGTTTGTGTGGACCGGTCGGGTTGTATCTCAATCGAGTTCGGTCTTGTAGCAACTCGTTGGAGTTCATCATGAGCTTCACGGCGATCCATTACCTTGTGTGGCCCGTGTTTACCAGCATCTTCTTGTACTACATCCACAAGGTAGCTATTCGCGCCATCGATCACAATGTCCACAACAGCCACGCCTGCGATGTGTGCTTAGATTGGATACACCTACGTGAGTGTGGCGCTTGTCCTGGTCTACTTGCCGACGTTCTTGAACAACGCACACAAAAAGCTGACGCCAAAGGAAGGCGGCATGCAATGGGACTGGTTGCGTGAGCACAGTCTTTGGAACCTGATGTGCAGCTACACCAAGTACGACGACCAGCCTGGTCTCGAACGTTGTTTCATCAGCGATCCATGTCGATTCGCATGACGCAATGCCCTGGTGCCTTCCTACGCGAGTGTCATGTGTAGGCTCGAGATCGTTCGTGAAGCGGCCCTGGACCCGACGAAACAAGTTCGACCACGTTGTGCCGTTGCCCTTCGTCACGCCTCTTGTCCCTGTCTAGTATGTCTTTGCATACCATCCCCACGGCATCTTGATCCTATCGCGCATCTCGACGTACGCGGGCAACTTCGAGAAGCTGTTTCCTGGCATTGTCGCCCGTGCGTTGGGAGCGACTCCCATGTTTTTCATCCCGATGGCCCGAGAAATATGCCTCTGGTTCGTTGCCCAACAAATCGTGTCCTGTGTTGGCTTGTGCACTTTACCGTTGTGTCATGTGTTGTCGTTCGGTGGCCACCCTTTACCATATTGACGTTGCACGCGCCGGCACAATAGGTTGGCCGCCGTCGACGCGAGCCGAAAGAACGCCGAGCGCATTTTAAAGGAAAAGATGAGCGTCATTGTGTACCCTGGTGGGTCCAAGGAGATCTTCCTCACCGACCCCAACTCGAAGCAGGTACGTGGGGATACAAAACGAGCACGTCCCTGTAGTCCACGCCCTCTCTCTCTCATTGTCAACTAGACCACCCTCGTGCTCAACAAACGGTTGGGCTTCATTAAGCTGGCCGTCCGATATGGCGCGGATGTCGTGCCGACATTTGTCTTTGGTGAAAAGTGGATGTACAAGTAAGTTGCGTGGGTTGCATCCATGGTGTGGATGTGGATAGATGGATTGCTCATGGCAGATGGGGCGTCATGTAGCATCTGGAACCCGCCCCAGTCGGTCCGGCACTTTTTCCTCTCGACACTCAAGGTGCCGCTGTTGCTCTTCTGGGGCCGCTTCTTCACGTGGCTTCCCAAACGGTTGACGGGAAAGCGCCGCTTCGGTGTCGTGTTTGGCAAGCCCATTCCTGTACATTGAGTGAGATGGTGTGCATGGTCACGGGGATTCTGTTGCAGGTCACTCAAAATGAAAATCCCTCGGAAGACGAACTGATCCAGATCCACGCGTTATACAAGGAAGAGCTGACCGATTTGTTCACCCGGTACAAGGCCGAGTTTGGCTACGACGACGACGAGGTGCTCGTGATTCAATAGACCGCGTTGGTGTCCGCTGCAGTCCCTCCTGGCCGCCTGCGCACATTGGCAGCGATCGCACCGGATATCGAGTGAACTGAAACACAATAAACGACGACATTCGAGTCCGCTTGAAGGCTGGAATGGAACGTTTTCTTGTTTTCGAACGAATTATGAGGACATGAAGGCAGGTGCAGTCTTGCGACCTTGGACAGATATGCCCCGCTGCATCCCATTGCCGTCGCCAGAGTCACAAAGAGTGCTTAAATATAACAGAACCGAATGACAGGCAGAGAGATTCCCCACTTGGACAAAGCCGCGATGGACTGCAAAAGGAGCAGCCAAACCTACGTCAGGTCCACGATGTGTGGTTCATTGCGGACGGAAAGCAATGGCCGTGAGGGCGCCAACTCTTCATCCGATTCCAAAGACAAATCGATGCTGGCACCACTTGCAAGTAGACGCGGTTTCTTGGACGGAGGGGCCTTCACGACAAACATTTCGTCGTCCGAGTCATCGGAAGATCCAATCTCAATCACACAGTTGGTCGACGACATCGCCGACGACATTCTCTCGAGACCAGAGCTTCGTTTCCGCGACCCTGAGCTCCGCTGGCTAGACGTCATGTCGTTGGCATGCATGGACAAAACACCTGAAACAAAACCTCAACAACGCATTCAGCTATGGCAACGCGAAAGACTCATACTCACCTGCTTGTGTAATCCCAGGGCAGCCCACAACTGAACCAATCGCTGGATCAAAACGTGGCTTCGACGATTCGCTCGGTAGCTTCCCAGTCCCAAGAGCCTCTCGCTCCACATCCGTCGAAGTCAGCGCTTCCAATAGTGTCGTGCCACCAGTTGAAAATTCAGGAATCGGTTGTGCAGATGCCGCCGCCGGACTCGGTGGAGGTGCACCAAATCGCGCCGGGCGAAGAGGGTCCACTTTCACGCTGGCTGCAGTCTGCACTCCTTGA